TATCCCTCCATTGCCCAAACAGGATGTGCCATTGACCTGGTTTGCTTGAATTGATTAAGGCCACATTCCGACGCATATTTCCGCTTAGAGCAAGCATGAATTGAATGTTTGTTGCAGCTGAAGACTGGAGCTCTGTGAAAAACCAGTTCAAATGTTTGCACGGCCTCAGCTTCTTCTGTGGGGCGGATTCGAAGCAAAACAAATCTTGGCACAAGCCGCGCAATCGCTCATTTCTTTTTAAGTGGCCAACGATAAGGTTGCGCTAACACAACACACTGCCACCACCGTCGTAATAAAGAGGCACTATTGAAGGTTCTTTTTTCAGAATCTATTATGGAAAAGGGGTGACTGGTTGAAAACTGACCCGTCTAAAAAAAAAAAAAAGTGAATATTTTGTGATAAAAATCACATTTCACCCCTGTGAGCTCCCACTGCTCCGACAAAGGCTGGGAAGCCCCAGAAACGAAACAAAGACCGCAGGGGGAGATCACGGCAAGCATAATTGCTTTCCTCCAAATATCTGCAGTGTATGGAAACAGCGGCGCAGTTTCGCAGAGTCGGCACCGTGCTCCCCTGCTGCGCTCCCGTCATACATCTCCGGCTTTCCTGAGCAATTGATGAATTCTCTACATGCTAATGTGCCCCGCCGGTCCATAACCATGGTAACCGCAAGCTGGGGAATGGGATGGAAGTGCGCCGGCAGGGGGGAAAACTGATAACAGTGCAGGCAGCCACCCTAACAAGGCATTGGGCAGACAGAGAGAGAGAGAGAGAGAGAGAGAGAGAGAGAGAGAGAGAGAGAGAGAGAGAGAGAGAGAGAGAGAGAGAGAGAGAGAGAGAAAGAAAGAAAGAAAGAAAGAAAGAAAGAAAAGACTGCATGTGTGTCTGTGGGAGCCAGTACGTGCAGCCAAAGTGACCGGCTTGACCAGCCGGTGCACTTTTACTGCTTTTCATGTGGACGAGCTGAGAAGAAGCATTGTGATATAAAGAGTAGGGGTGTAAAAATGCGTCTAAAGGTGCCAATTCAACTTCCTAGATTCCTGGAAGATTCTGACAATCAATTAGAACAGTTTTAATGTTCAATAAAGTATGCATATTTTTGGGCAAAAATAATAGGCTATTTTTAAATGTAAAAATCCTTAAAAAAAAAAAAAAAATGGTATATTGCTATATCACTCTGTTCCTCCAGTCACACTTATATTCAGTGCATTTTCAAAAATAATTCTGAATCATACCAAAAGAATCACAACATAATTTAATAAAATTTGAGATCACAACGGTGCACTAATTAATTTCCTAAAGAATCGTGATCAAAACGTTTTGAGGTCAAGAGATTTACACCACCAGTAATGACCGTTTCCATTTTCTCACGCTAACAGGAACAGTTGCTGAGCTCCAATCGGGCCGAGCACATGGAGAATAGCTCCCCCAGCCAGAGGAGCCCAGCCAAAGGTCTGATTTCATGCTTCAGTCCTAATTATCCAGAGAGCCGTGTTTGGACGCCTGAATGCAGCATGAGGACAAAACCGCAAAAACTGTGGCCACAAAACGCCACTGTTTCAGCCACCAGATAAACTCAAGAGTGTGGTCATCCCCTCTAACCTACATTCTTGGCCTGCGTCCCCTTAAATATGAGGGGATAGACCCTGCATAACAAGCGGGATGCTTACGCTTCTTTAGAGCAGTGTTTCTCCATCCAATCTTCAGGGCCCACCAGATGGTCCTTTTCTTGGATGTAACCTTGCAGCCAATATACCTGTCCCAGGTATTCAGCGTTCATCGTAAGGTGGCCAAGATATGGGAAGCCAATATATTATTTCCCCAATAAATGGGAAAATTTCACTGTTATGATTTCAATAATACAAGTGCACACATGCAAACAAGCAAATATACACTCACTTGACTTCACAAGCTCACTAAAAAAGGGTAATATGGAAGTTTTGAGGGTTAATTCCCTGTCCAAGGCAGAATTCCACTGTTACACAAGTAACAGTGCTTAGGCAAATCTCTCAATTTCAGATTCGTCCACACTTGTAAGCCTCGATAAGAGAATTTTCTACACATGTTTACATTAACTCTCATGTTAGATTCTATAAAATTAATTAGTGAGCTATTTGCAGAGCTCTAAAGTCTTGATGCTCACTTACTTTATACATGGATTATGATGTGAAAATACAAAAACATTATAGGTTAATCGTATGGGTATTAGCCACAAGTTGTCAATTAATGGTTAATGCCATTAGCCCAGAAATTATATCAGTCTGAACAAAATAAAATGAAACCATTAGTGGATCTGTTGTAAACAAGTCTACACTAGTAGCGCCATGAAAGTTTCTAGAGAGAGATTTTCCAATTTAAAGATTAGGAAAACTCCATTCTGCTGAGATATCTTGAAGGAGGGAGAAGCTTTTGAAAAACAAGGGCTTTGGGGACGATACTTGAGGATGGGTTGTTTGAAAGGCTTTGGTTAATGCAGAAGAAAGCCAGCTAACAAAGATAGCTTGCACCACTTGGAAGCAGAAATACTGCTATTTCACATCGGTAATTATTAGCTTCTACATCAGCGGCTACACTAGTCAGGATTTCCTTAATGACATGAGGGGGATTCCCAATGTGTGCTGGCTATTGTAGTGAGAGAACACAAAAATGAGACAAAATCATAAAATATGTCAAACCGATGAGGCTGAGGGACACAATGCTGCGCTACAGAACATGACATAGCATATCAAACAACATTACATGCCAGTTTTAGGCAGGAATGCCCCTTTGATGGTTGGTTCAGGTGTGCTGGGGGCTGGGACAGAGTTAAAACCGCTGAACATCACGTTAGAAGCCCTGCACTCGAAAATTTCCCACCGCTTTGTCTCTGATGTCATACCTTTATCAGACACTTCAGTGGGGGGGATATGGGGGGTCTGGGTTTTTTTTTATACAACTCGTGGTTTTTCTTTTGTGATAGCAGCTGATCAGCCTCTTGGCCCAGTGGCATGATCAGGTGGCCAGACATGATCTCTCAAGACCGTTCTGGGCTCCGGTCCACGAAATAACATCATGAGGCTTGAGAAGGAAAAACAGACACTGTTCACTTAGCTACATAACAGCCACTCTCTGTGCCATGTGGGAGGTGTAGTATAACAATCTAATATGCTGGATAGTATCATCCAGAGCCACACGAGGATCAAGTTTTATTGCGCTTCTGCTGTAAATAAGGTTACGCTGCGTGAAAAGGACCTGCTTTGCTGTTAACCACCTCAAAACAGCCAAATGCTCATTAAAGAGCCCTGGTGGTTTCTTTTCTTTTTTTGAATGATCGAGTGAGCCACAGTAAATCACTCATTCAAAAAGAACATGAATACAAGCTCATAAACTACAACGTGACAAAGCAGAAGAAAAACACAGCCACTCAATTAGACTAAGAGTTCCTTTAATGTAACGTTCAGATAATAAGCTCCTGTTTTCAAGCGCTTCAGATTGACAGCTGTTTGGCAAAACAGATCCATTCCTGGGGCCTAAGTGTTTTCAGAGTGAAATAGGACAGCAATTGCACGGTCACGAGAATGCGTCCAACAAGAAAATCTGCCTCTCACCCAGCGCCCGGGGCACAGCACAGTCATCTAGAATGGATACACCCACAATGGCATGTTTAGAATCTGACTCAAAAACACGCACGAGGAGAAACTGTGGAGCATGGCGATAACCAGCCCGTTACAAATAAAACAAGTTAATGTTTTTCACACACTGTGGAAGGCAAAAGGGCAAGAAGGAGGGAGCGAAGAAAGGAAAGAAAAACATGACCTTTGTGTTTCTGCAGTCGCAAAGCGAAGAGATCTGCTCATGTCATCTGCCTTCCATTAGGGACAATGTATGTCCCCTAGGCATGCAAAAAACCGATCAAAGTCTCGGCAGAGAGGAGATAAGGTCGTGATCATGGGAGTAGCTCGCACAGCAACCTCCCAACCATGACTATCTCTAGGCACTGGCAGCAGGGCCGCCCGCTCCCAAGATGATGATGTGCTTTGTGGTCATTCTAGTTTACAGAGCAATTTGTGAGTTTATCTTGCTTTGTGTTGCTTTCAGCTATTTCTGGTGGAGCATCCTCAGATTTGCTCCACTCTGCTGCGTCCTGTTTGGATCCAGACATTCCAGAAAGCCCTCAGCAGGAGTAAATATCATTAAACTTCATTGCAGTGCCTCCGACTTCGGACAATTACATCTCTCAAGAATGGTAGCCTATGTTAACTTGTAAGCTGCTCTTAATATGGGTTTTGGACATGGGGCTCGCAAATGTGAAAAACATCTGTAAAATATTAAAGGGGAGGGGCTGGTAGAGGGGGCTGGGGGGTGGCATGCTTTTACCCTCAATTACACTTGAATTAGTTGCTGTTTTAGGGTCTAATGCAACATGAACAGTGCCAGAATTAGCAATTTTACAGTGCAGGGCTTCTGATTACAGGAACAAACAAGAAGTTGGTGATTGTAATAAAAAGTGCTAGCAGCTTTCCTCACAGGCTCGCTAGACATAGTTCAGTAATAGCAGGAAAGGAAGGGAAGAGGGGGCTGCACCTTTAACTAACAAGTTCTGAGGTAAAACAGCCCCGAAAAGCTGCTAAGTGGACTAAAGTCTGAGTGTTAGCTCTGGCGGTGGTGCTGCTGCGCGGTTATCTGGAGCTAACGTTAACGTTAGTCCGCGCAAATATGGCCTCGGCAAGCCGGCGAAACGAGGTATTTAAAGGGCCGGGGCACAACGCATCCTGTCCGGATATCACGGCGAGCATCCTCCTCCCTCCCAGCCGGTGTCGTCCCAGCTAGGGCGAAAAAAAACGGTCCACTTTTCTTTAGTCCCGCCATGTCGTCTGAAGCGAGTTTAAGGTCGGGGCACAGCGAAGCGTTTTCGCTCACTCAGCACGGCGGATCCCGCCGCCACCGAAGCAAACATGCAGCATCGTAGGGCTGAAAAACAGCGAGGCTAACGCTGGGAAAGTAAAGAAAGGCTCGTTTACCTCAAGCTGTTCGCCTCTGGAGCCTCGGACGGTCGCGGGGACGACGTTAAAGCCGACAGGACACGCTAGGAAACGGCTTTCGCTGCACTTTTTACCGCGTCCAGCCGGTACATGTTGCCGTGCCCCCCTCACAGCAGCTGCTCGCTCACTCGCGGACGGACGGACGGCTGGCTGGCTGCTGTCTCTCTCTCTCTCTCTCTCTCTCTCTCTTTCTCTCTCTCCGCCTCTCTCGCTCCTCCAGCCGTGTTTAGGTTTGAGCACTAGGCAGGAAAAGTGATGTCATTGCTGGAAATGGTGCTGCCCGCCCCGTTTTCAGCACAGGGGCCCGTCTTTATGTGGTCCACGTAGGCTAGCGGTTTCTTATAGCCTCCCCTGATTTTAAACCTCGTCCCACATACACACACTTCAGCTGAAACTTAAAGGGGAACGCCACCGGTTTTTCAAAATTCCTGCATAATTTAATGAACATGTAAACAGAGTCATTCAGAGTGGTCTGGTGTGAAATGCTCCATCCTGGAGAAACTTGCAGAGTCAGTATTGTTCACGGTGGTGGTGCTGGGAACTGGACATCCACCTCTACAAGCTCCCTCACAGAAAGTTATGACATGAAAAGGCTGTGAATACGCTGCCTATTCTCTGAGACATTATTTTGCGGTAGTTTTGACCTAAAACATATTGTAATCAATTTATTTTGATCTACTCATGGTGGAAGGATACATGATGGCTGTTCTAAAGCAAAATAGACCCCGAAGAAAACACTTTTTTTTCAGATTTACCACCATTTGACCATCAGCATTACATATATAAATAATCAAGACACGTGTAGGTTCACTGGTGGTTTTGGGTAGTTATTAAATTGGCTATATTTGTGTTCTTGACATTGTGACCCTTGGTTCCTGACAGCACCACTGTAAGGATGTCTTAGTCTTCAAATTCCTCTATAATTAACCATTTCACATCAAATCAGTGCAACAGTGACTTTGTTTACATCTCAACCGCTGAATTATGCAGACATTGTGTAAAATCGGTGGAGTTCCCCTTTAACCTAGTGTGCTTATCTGGAAGACTGGCTGTTCTGGTTGACGCTCACTGATGCGGGTTCCTCTCAGATGAAGTGGAGCTTTAAACTGAACGCGATTCGTGATTCAGCCTTCATTTATATATATTTAATAACCCCTCAGTAATAAGTTATCAGTTTTAATACTTCATGTCTAAGAGCGAGGCTTCTGAACTACCTGCTTTTCTAGTGTTAGCTGGAACATACTTCAACAACACATTTATTAAGCCCATGGTGCGGCAGTTACTGTGAATTAGATGCCAAACAACATGAAAAACAATGGTTTATGTTCATAAAGTTGGCTCAGCTGGCACGGTGTGAGAATATGGAAACTTCGGTCAGATGGAATGGATCCCATAACTTGCAAAACATTGCAGATGCAAAGGCAACATTGCTTGTTCGCCCTCTTAAGTTTATGTAGTGTAAACGTCGTTATAATATTGAAAACGTACTGCTCATCCTCCAGTCCATACAGAAAAAACCTTAAAAATCCCGTTTTGAATTGACTTTTTTGAGAGATCACAAAAACAAATGCATTGACAAACAGCCCCCTAGTCAACGTTTAGCCCCACCCATTCACCTTGAAGTTATAAGTAGTGTTTCTGCCTGAAGGTGGAGCAGCGAATCAGAACGTACCATTCACATCAATTTTCTTAAAGGCATAGTAACAAACACAGCACATTTAATCTAAGCCAAATAGAGACTGGAAAATGGTAACGCAAAAATTAAGACTTTGGTAGACAAACAATCATATGTGGACATCAAAAACATGAATAAGCATATGCCAAAGATTCAGGACTACGGTGACACGTTCTGTTTTATTTCCAAGTACAACAACAGATTCAGGCGCAGTTTCTATGTTAACATCAGTCCTCTAGCGATTACCTTTTATAATACACATCTGAACGTTTTCCATAAATAGGGTACAGTCTTTGCACTGCGGGGGCAGGCTTTGTAAATATGGCTTTTGGTCAGACTCCATGTTCTGAAACCACAACAGTGCAGCAGGTAATAAGGTCTACAGACAGCTGAGAAATTCAGGTCACAAGGTGCTCAGGATGTGGCATCTGTTGTTATTGTGTCAGGGTCCTTTGATGAATTCTGCGTGGCATCCTCCTCTCCTGCTGTCTCGGGTACCTCTGACACGGCCTGGGGAAAAAGGGAAAAAAAAGAAGGTCTTTTTAAGTGCTCTTCGATTATGGAGTTTAAGACAACAGAAAGGCAGGGGTTTCAGCAGAGGCTGGTAACAGGTCACAACTCATCATGGCACACGGCTACTGTCTTGGTAAATCCACACTTGAGGGATAAAAGGATGCATAGGACATGGACATTAAAAAAAAAAATGTGTACATTTAACTTTTTTTTATATATTCACACAAATACATGTGTTCTATGTAAAGAAAAAGAGTTTTAGTATTAAACAGGTGAAGACTAACATTTTGCTATATCAGCACCACACAGTGCGAGATCATGGAATCATGGAAAGTGTATCCAGACTACAGAAGTTTGTGACATTTCTTTCAAGACATTTGTTTCAAGCAGAATTTAAACTTAATTTTAGACAGCTGTATATATATTTAAATCAACTATCTAATGACAGCTATCACTGTCGCCACACGGTAATTTAAACTGTGCTGTCCTGTCAGGTTTTATTCAGCACTCTGGATGATGAAAGGCCAGCTAAGGCCAGTTTCAAACAAATTTTTCAAGCTCTGGTCAGTTTTGGACTCAAATTGTTCATGTGGGTTTTGTCCATCTGAAGTCAAGTACAGACTAAAAACTTGATCAGGTTGAGTTGGACTCTGACAAAGTGCTTGAACTGTATTCTTGTCCAGACTAAAACTTCTAGACAGACCCAAAGATCTAGTTAGTGTTACTGCAGAGGTACAGCACTATGATGAGCTTAAGCTTGAAGTGTTTCTTTAAAACAAGCTGACTCCCCATTTTAAGGTTGGGAGACTCAACACACCATGTGAAGACTTTGATTTTAGCCACTGTTTGAAACCAACAGCTACAACACGTTGCTGGCCTTCATTCAGGGCTAAAGAACTGGTGTGACTTTAGCAGGAGGAACTGAATCTCAAACTTGAGACTGAAGCAAACTGCTGTAAATAACCTTTAACCTTAACCAGCAAATGGCTTCAACATGGTAAAGCAAATGACAGTGCATGATTTACAGTACTCTTAGGAATTTAAAACACTCCATTTTTTTGTCTCAGTCTCTAATTTAGTCTCTACATCCAGAGGTATGCTGCCGCAAGCAGTATGGCCAAGTTTTTCATCCTCCAAGTTTGGTAACACTAAACATTCAACTTGCTATGTGACAGTGACCCACATTATCCTATTCCTGCCCAGCCAAGTTCATACATACTGGACTTCTGTTTGAACAGCACAGCTGAAATCTGACCCCAGCACTGGGCTGTAACTCAGGCTTGCAAGCAGCGTTTTCAAGATTCTTTATTGCCACACATTGGCAGAATCTACAAAATATCTCTGTGTATATGTACTAATCAACAAACAATGAAGTGCAAGATGAGATAATAGGTTTGCACCTACAGGAAGACACCATATAAGCTGTAAATAATAAGATACATAAAACACCACCGAGTTGAGAAGCACATACAAAGCAGAATAGTGCAGTACTGCACATGCAGCACTGTTATATTTACATTAGTACACCACACTGTATGCAGAAAAAGCAGATCAAATTCTAAACGCCATGTCTGCTTAAAGGAATAGTTTGACGAAAATTCTAATTTACACAATTTTCCACTTATTCCAGCTGCAGTCGATCAGCCAAGATATATTCAGAGTCCAAATTCTGCTTTTGTTTAGTGCTGGAGTTAAGAGCATAACATTGACTAGAAGGTAATAGTCACTCAAACTTTTATGTAAATACATCCTCAAACTTTCAACCTGCGTCCAGATCTTCACTAAGGTCACACAGACCTGTCAATGTCGTTTAGGACAGTATGAATTACTGTGACCTATAAAAATTACCTTTCACCATGACGAACCCTGTGGTCGGCCACAGGTGTTGTGTCGAATTCAGACTCCCTTTTGTGCACAGGCACATCTCTGAACAGTTCAGGCAAAGTATCTAAATGAGATTTAAATGAGCTCCAGGTCCTTTGTCCCACCCTTCAAGAATACAAGCACACTTTTTTGGGCTTGAATGTAGTAAATGTAGTATGCCACACTGCCGAAGTGCGAGCTCTGTGTTAGTAGGTTAAATATAACCTCCTACTACTTAAGATAAATGTTAAATGATGTACGATATAATTAAAATTGCAGCTCTTGCATTTTAAGAATTGCACTCTCACAACTTTGATTAAAATGATTAATCTTGCAGCTCTAAAGGACGCTACATGTGATTTCGGGTTTTATTTATAAAATTATATTTTCAGTTCAAAAATTCAAGATTAACAGTTTAGAAATGACAAAATCGCAAGCATAATTCATGGCATCCTTCTGCTTGCATGCACACAAACGAGACGGACTCTGGAAGGATGTCTAAAATGGCTGACTGGAGTATTCAGCTAAACAGTTCTGTTCATTTTTATAGTTCACCGTAAGTCATACTGTGCTCTAAACTACACTGACAAATCTGTGAAATCTGTGATTCGAGCAGGTTGAGAAAAGTTTTGGGGAAGTACTCACTCAAAACAATTCGGTGACTTAACTTCTAAAATCTGTCAGCTACATGAGCCTCATAGCTCCAGTTTAAAACTAAATATGCAAAATTTGGACACACATGGCTTGGCTGATCAGCTACATCTGGGCTAAGTGGAAAAATGTGTAATTTAGATTTTTCGCCAAAACATTCCTTTAAAACCATATTTACCTGATCTATCACTGACATTTCATCCGTTTCTGAAAGCTCTGGGTCATGTGATGAGCCGTCCAGATCTCCATGCTCAGCCCCAGTCAGGATGTCCATGGGGGCCTCAGCTATGGCACGGATGGTCTGGTCCTCCAGAGCCAGCGCTGTGTCGAAGAGCAGAGGTGACGGTGGGCACTGCATCCCCTCATCTCCCACCACATCCAGATCCTGCAATACAGAGTAAGCCTCGCAATTATCTTTCAACTAACTTTAGCTTTGACATTATAACTCTATGTTCTTTTGACTAAGGCTAACATAGCCATCAAGTAACAAATCTGTAGCTACCAGTTGACATCAGGTCAAATATGTGTTTAAATCAAAGGCAAGCCTAAGACCACTTCAAGTTGATAAATGATCTTATAAATTTTATTATATGGACTGAGACAACATGACATTCTGTTATCTATAAACATGGAGCAGAACCGAACTTAGATGGCAAATTGACTACATAGGAGTTAAGGAGACAACATTTGTCTACTGTCAAGACCTTTGCAGCCAAGAGACTGGCAACAGTTAAAACAGCAGCAAGGCTGGATAAAACGCTTTTTTTCTAAGCCTACTTGAGTAGCCCTATTAATGACTACCAATAACAATACATACATCACTGAACTCCAGTGGCAGACTCTCAGTGGGCTGCAGCTCTGCAGCGCTGAGATACAGGTCTGTGGGGGCTGAGGCCAGCTGTTCTGGGGCCAAGGTCTCCTGCTCAGGCTGATACATGGGAGGCGGCAGAGAGAGATGTAAAGGGCACCGTGGCTCCTCTGACTGGCCCATATGCACAGGTCGGTCACAGGGTACATCCTTCAGGCCAGGACACATCTTAAACAGTACCTGACTACCATCTTGGTAAATGTCTATTGTGAATAGTTAAAGAAAAATGATTTACAGGCATGAATGATGGGCTATGTTACTGCAGCGGTCTAGCAATATATGGTAAGTGTAAAGTTTGAATGTCTCTTCAAACTGAATTGATTTTTCCCATTTGGTTAGTTTGGGAAAGTCAACAGACCATGTGAAGACTTTGATTTCAGCCACTGTTTGAAACCAACAGCTACAGCAAGTTGCTGGCCTTGATTCAGGGCTAAAGGACTGAAAGAAGAATGTGGAAGATTAGGTACATGAACATGGCGTTGCTAAATGTAGGAAGATGTACATTTTGGTTTATATGCTGCATAACTCAAACTCTGAGAAGAAGGATACGAGAGACACAATGTCGCGTCATAGGCAGGCACTGGTTTGAACATCGTGTTCCTTCCACAAAGGAAATGCACCTCTGGCTTGGTCGTACTGAGTGAGCCTGTTGAAAGACCACATATAAACTTACAATGTTACATAATGAAACTGTTTTCACGTGAAAAAGCCTAATAATACCTGGCATTTCATGTGTGTCATATCCAGTAACGTCTAGATAAGATTTATTCACGTTTCACCTATATCTGCCCACATAATTTCGTCTGTTACACAGAAACTGGATTTGCATCAGTGCTGCTATTCCCACATTACATGCAAATTCAAGGAACTCTATCCCAGAATGTCCCAAGATGGGCATGCCAGAAATTGTTCTATCCAGTTATGCGTTTTCTAACTACTGTAGGAGGGATGAGTAGCGATAAATTAATCTTGAAGAAACATACATATACAGACAGCTCAATTTGGACATAAAAGTAAATAAACAAATAAAGTAACGGGTGCAGTCGCAAAATTCAGAATTTGATTTGATATGGTGGCAACTTGATTCAATAAAGTGAATATGATACAGCCGAAATGATGCAGCACACCAGGGACTGTCCAAAAATCTGCCCATATGTTAACATTTTCTGTTTATTCAAGCATTCAACATTGATTAAAAAACCGCAGTATTTTTCCCACCGTTCTCAATTTTGAGGTAAAGAGGATGCACTTTTCATGTTTTCATTGTGGGCTTGCTTATTTAATTTTCACTATACTTCATGTAACACAATGATTATTAAACTGAGTACTTGCTCCACTCTGTTGAATGTAGGGAAAACAAACAAATAAATAAATAAAGTAAGTAAGTAAGTAAGTGAGAATCATACAGGATTTAACTCTCTTCAATTACACTTACTTTATCTGTTGATTATGCATACAGTGATACTGATTACTTATATCTTAGATTTTTTATGTTTTCTGAAAGTTCCAAAGGGAAAGCATTTGGGAAAGAGAGGGAGAAAGATTTATTGTTCTTCTTTGGCATTATGACCCTTTTTTGGCCTCAGCCCTAATGAGGTTTCATGTTTTGGACTAATTCACAAGAGCAGTTGAACACTATGCATAAGCAGGCTAAGTTTAATAGTACAAGCATTTTGCTGTCATCCGAGATGTTCATTTGCACCGATAAATAAACATCTGATACCATTAGCCTGTGACATCAGATCACATGTGAAACCCAGGGGTTTGAAATAGATAGGAGCAGTTCATTAATTCTGCTTGAATGATTAAGAATGAGAATCATTAGCTGAATGTATATTTCAATACCTATGCTTGTTGGACTGAGAGGCACATATTGAATGAAACATTACATTGTATAGTTTCTCCTCCAGTAAATAAGTAAAAAGTAGAAATGCACATTAGAAAACTATGATTTTTTCTATTGTTTGCTTTTCACATCTTCCCATTTGCACCGCATACAAACTACTGTCCTTCTGTCAAAGATCCTTTGGCTTTGTGTGCCATTAGACCAATGCACATAAAGATGCACTCTATATCGTGTGAGCTAATCATATGAGCTAAATTCTGTTCTACGTCTGTAAAAAGAGGTGTACTTTTGAAAATAACCTCAGGACTACCAAAACTGAACTGACCCCAGGACTGATGAGAAAAGCTAAGAGCAGCACTAAGCATTTTTAGTGTGTAATTCATGCCCCCCTTACCTGTGCTGTTCCTCCCTCGGTTATAGCCTGTCTGCGTTCTCTGAGTTGCCTGTGTAACAAAGCCTCAACACCATAACGACGACGGTAGCGTCGCAGAGCCTTCAGCTTTCTAAGATTTTCTCGTTCCTTCATGGACAGACCTTCAGGTCCCGTCAAAAGACTGCTGCCTGTTTCACAACACAACGGTGTGATACATTAAACAACAGTGCACCAACATGTCAACGGTTTATTACACAGTCACAATGCATGTCAAATCTGTAGGTACTCATTAACATACAGCACTGTATTCCACAACTCTACATCAGATGCAGAGGGTTAGTGAAGCAGTGTTACCTATTGTCTCATGCTCAATCTTGCGGCTGTGCAAGTAGCGTCGTTTTTTTTCCTTCAGCAAGTGCTGCAGTCGTTTAAACTGGTCTATGTACAGTGACTGGAGTCTGATGAGCTTTTCACGAGTAATAAGAGCGACTTCTTCGGCTGTGTATATGCCAGCATGTCTAGAAATAAAAATTACACATTAAGAAATGTAGAAACACACCCTGTAAAACGTTCATCTGACAATTCAAACTCTAAACACAAAGTTTTGTATCTGCATCACGAATACCAAAGCCACTCACTTCAGCGGGTCTTCGTGATCGCTATCTATGCTGTCAGCTTCACTGTCTGGATCCCCTCTCCACATCTGATCCAACACCACCGGGTCCTGCTCCTCTTCACTCCAGCTATCCTCATCTACACAAAGACAGACAGGTTCAGCGAGGATTTACCACAGTGGTCTCCATCCTCCAATTTGAATCTACAATTTCAAGTTATTGTTCATAATCTTATTACCTTTGTTCCATTTTATAATCTATACTGCAGCTAACTGTAATTACATAATTAATCTTTGTCTGATAAGAATAAACTAAACAACGCTGGAAAGAGACCTGCCTAGAATGCGGCTTGCTTCACTGCGTCCATCTTGGCCGAGGGCTCCCGATTCTGCCCTGCTGTAGCCGCTGAGCTGAGAGAGCAGCATCTCTGGGGAAGGTCCCGAGGAGGCCTTGCGCATCTGTGCTTGCAAAGCCAGAGCATTTCTATGGGCATGCTCAGCACAAAACGCCACACTGGACAGAGAAAATGCAACACAGCCCATGTCAAAAGGATGATCAGAACAATCTGAAACAAATATAACATTGGTATCATCAGAGAGATAAGGGACCACACAAAGCATGCACAATATAGTTAGAATATAGGAAACGAATGGCATTTACCCCAACCAGGGGTCTCCCATCTTATCCACAAAGGGCCGGCATAGCTGCAGGTTTTCCTTATAACTGAGGCAAAAGAGCACTTCACATGAGGTGTTTGTTTGTAAACGGGTCCAACAAATTATACAAGCAGAGTCAAGAGTGCTGCCGATTGGTTGGAATGAAAACCTGCAAACATGCCAGCCCTTTGCAGATAAGACCGGTGACTCCTGGTCTGAATTGCGTGATAAAGAAATATCTTTACCCATCCTTCTTCTCAGGTTTCGGTGCTGCATTGGGACAGCGCTTGCCATTTTTGTTGGACACATAGCTGCACTGCCTGTAAGGGGCATTCTTGTCCTCCAGTATGTGCTTGATGCAGAACTCCCAACCTTCCAGGCGGGGTTGTGAGCAGGCTCTTTGGGTGTAGGCGCAGGCCTGGGGCTCCTGGGTGCGACCAGCCTGAGTGACCCGTCCCCTGCTTGACGGCAGCACGTGGATCCGAATCCGGTTCATCTTGGCCTGTATGGGAGAAAACCTGGCCAGTCACTCATAGCAGAAAGCAGTCTGACTTCCAAGTCATATTTTTATTCATTTGTGCACGGAACACATTCTTCTTAAAGAGGAATTTCTGCTTAATTAAATTGTTAACACGTAAACAAAGTCATTCAGAGTGGTTTGACATGAAACATCATGCTTCAGAAACCTGGTGAGTCAAGAGCTTTTATTTATATACATATATATGTAACCATTAACTGTGTACATTTCTGAACTGCTGATGCTGAATGAGGACACACCACGTGTGCGGCAGATTATGAAGATGTCCGTTTGTATTATCAAACTAAATGTCTTTTCCAACAATTCAGCCAGCCACATTTCCACAGTACGGTGGTATTTTCGTTAAAGCAGCCAACAGCGCTCATTAAAACAGATCTTTTAAAAACACGTCTTGAACCCGCCCCGGCCCTGCACAACACGGCCAACGTACAGGTCGGCCATCTTTGAACGGCCGCCGAGCTGTTAGCACGTTAGCTCGAGGCAAAATCCCACAAAAAGCCACTTCGACTTTATAAATATAGGTTTCTGCTATTACTACAGCTAAATCAAACACTAAATATTTATTTTATGATCTAAAATACTCACTACTCACCGGTATTTCACTCCGCTGTAGCCAAACTCCGGAGTCCGTCACAAAAGCAAACGCAAGTCGGGTCTTGCCCAACGATGAGCCCGCGTCCTCCCCCAATAGGCCCGCCCTCCTCAACTGTGATTGGCTCGTTACCTCTCACTGAGCTATTTGATTGGACACAGTGAACGCGTCAACGAGACACGTTCTTTCCCTATTGGCTGTTCCGTTAGTCAATCTTTGCAAAATTAATATTCATCATCTTCAAACGTCCTTGTACAAACTAGGTGTTTCCTACACGTTACTGTAGTCTGATGCATCACTGAAAGCAAGAAACATACCAGGATTTATATGAAAATAAATTATTTAATGTAAAATTGCAAAGCCAGAGGTCCTTTTCTGAAATTCATGTTCTGCATAAGTTAATTCTTTCCATAAAGTTGCCATGCCTTGTACATTCTTCTTAACTTCCTGAGATTTGGTTTGGGGAGGTCCTGTGGATAATAAATAAGACATGACCATCAAAATTGAGTCATACATACTGAAATGTGTAAAAATTTTGATTTTGTAAAAGTCAGAGGCTTTCCTTCATTTATTTAATTTCCAGGTAAAACGGCCATTAATTACAAGCTTTTTTATCCCTCCACTGTGAGACGAAACTTCGGCACTATGGGTCTGAAAGGAGGTGTAGCTGTCTAGAAGCCTTTACTGAGCAGGAAGCAGAAAATACAACCAACTTCTAAGACTGAACTTTGGAAGTGTGGCTTTTTCCCCTGAAAAATTAATAATTTGTACTGAGTGGCGGCTGTTTTGCCTTTATTTTTGAATAAATGGAGGGTGGTTTCTGACTTTTGCACACAACTGTATGCAGATCATCTATTGAACACTGAAGTGTTTTGAATCACATAACAATAAATCCTTACTATGGAGGAAACCTCTGTGGTATTTCCCCTACTTAGTTAACTGTTAGGATGCATAATGTCTACTGACAGTTACTCCTATTTGTGAAACTATAGTACTGATGAAATTTTATTTTTTAAACAGAAATTTAACATGTGCAGGACACAGAAATACCTGTTCATTATCTAAATGGAGAAGATCAACTAGTGGGACAATGGAGGGCCTTCCGTGAGCACACTGAAAGGGTAGCTGACAGGACGCGAGGGATCCCACCAGGCTGCAGCACTCTTCTTTACTCAAAACATCATTGAATTTAATTGCTCCTGTTAAGACAAGACTGATTATCGAAACTGACGAGATCAAGTGATCCAAAAAGTGCTGAATATGGTTATGCAATGAATTAGCTCTCAACAGCATGAATGTCTCTTGTAAACAAAATGATGCTATTTATACTTGTTGTTTATAACAATGAAAAGTCCATTTGTGGTGCATTCAAGATACTGACCATGACAAGCTTGTGAAGCAAGAACATTGTGGACTGTTAGAGGAAGAGTACTTCTCACTCTTCCTGCCGTATGCAGAAACTGAAAAAGATGAGTCAGATCTAATTAAATGAAGTCTATTAATTCCAAAAATGCCTCCAGAAGTCTACCTTTACTTTGATTATATAAGAGGACATAAACCTAGGTGTAATCCAATTTCACTTAAATACAGGCAAAATCCAGGCAAGTATGGTGCAAAGCTCTGACCTACCTCAATGTGCTCTCGCAAGTATTCCTGAATAGACAGAAGAAGAAAAATCAATTACCAACTTCTTAATTAAACTTCCAGTGTAATTTAAAGCCCTGAGTAAAACTGTTGCAGGTCTGACCTCTGCAATAGACTCAATGACGGTGCGTCTGCCACGCCGCAGCTCCGTGTTCTCCTTCTCTATGAAACATGTGGGGAGTCGCTCTAGTAGCACATGTGACTCCTCTGTCTGTGGAAAGCCTACTTCTAGAGCCAGGTCTCTTAGAAGAGGCTGATACAACCTGCAGAACAAAAGCATATGCAGTTACTCACTGTTAGTACACATGCAATTAGTATTTACTTAGTGAAAAGCATGGACAAGGGTACATCACATAGCTAAAAGCAGTTGCAGCAGCCATCTGAATTGTGTTTGTACTTTTGTCTATTTTTATGGACGACAGTCCGTTTGAGATTACGCAAAAGAAAATTCTAGGAGTTTTTAACATTATCTACCTGATTCAATTGTTGAGATGCAAATAAAGTCATTCAAAGTGGATTAATGTAAAATGGTACATTGTAAGTGGTGCAATCGTCTTGGACATATCATCAGGAGACTATGAGATCAAATTCCAGTGATGCCACAGCCATTCATGACCGGGACTCTCTCAGGTAGAATGGTGCTTCTTCTGCCCCATCACTCAGCACAATGTTTGCCAACGTAGGCATCTGTTAGCTGATGTAACAGAACTGGCAGTTAGCATTCTCCTCTAAGCGCAATGAAAAGATGAGCTGGCATGACTCAATAGAAGCATGTGCTAGCCATCACCCTCCCAGCTTGGTAGCATCGTGTGAAGGGGGGAAACCTACTTAGCGGGGAGAAAACTGGGAAAAATAAAACAAAGGAAATGATATATTGAAAAGAAACTTTCTGACTTTGACTTTTTCCACAGTGGTGCTAATAGTAACCAGGGGTCACAATATCTACAACCAAAATATAGCCATTTTATTTGCTATCCAATATGACCAGCTGAGTTTTATATGTAATGTTGATAATGGTTAAAAAAAAAATTGATACAGTAACTTTTCTTTGGGGACTGTTTTGTATAACAACATCCTGCATGTACCACTCCAGAAGCTTATCTCAAAACTATTGATAAAGACAGCAAACAACATATTTGTATTGTTTTATGTAATAACTTTTTGTGTGACAGCTTTAAGAAGCATTAAACTCTTCAGATGTCCGGTTCCCATCACATCCACTGTGAACAATTCTGGCTCAGTAAGTTTCCCTAGAATGATTAATGTCAAACTACTCTGAATGACTGTTTACATCTTAATGAGTGACTTTTACAGACGCTTTGAATGACTGGTGGAATTCTTCTTTAACAACTCAATGTGGTTTGAGGCAACTGTGTGATGATTTAGGCATGCAGCTGCTCAGTGCTAAGTTGTGGGATACAAGTTTCTAACATTAGTCTTACAGTTTCAGGGCAAAAGTAAAGAAACTTCAGACCAAACGTGTCTTGGTTGACTACATTTGGGGCAAGGGGAAAGTTGTGGAGATCGAATTTCAGAGTCAAAGTCAACTTGTCACCACAGATGTGTTGCATGAGGCATGAAATATATTTACTGTAGGACACTACAGTACATTACAATATTTGCAATATTTAACATGAAACAGCAACAGACAAATACAACAAAGATTGACAAATACACTGTACACTAAACTTTACAGCCTTTTAGCACAGAACAGTACAGACTAGACAGGATCAGGACACAAAAAGTGGGTCACAGGGTGGGGAAAAATAAATAAGCTGCTGGTCTTCAACAGCAATGACTGTATTATTAGCAGTGCACATTAGTAAGAGAACAGTAATAGTCCCTAGCAACATAAGCATTGTCAGAAGTGCAATGTGTGTCCAGTGTACAGTACAGTACTATGCAAAAATGTTTTTGTTTTATTTAATTAATGAATTAATTTCAGTCAAAATGGCCATGAAGTACAAGCACATGAAATCTATCAGTATTTAATTTGTCTGCTCTTTACTTTTGCACACCCCACCGCCACTTTAACTCTTCTATCATTCTGATCTTAAAACCAACCAGTTACAGCTGAGTCCTCCCAATAAAGACTGATCCCAAAAGAGTCACTGACATTATTCTCCTCTTCAAAGAGACACAAACATTCACACAAGCAACTATCCAAACACATCTTAGCCGCCTCGCACATTTTTGTCTGATATGCATCTAAAATGGCTTTAGAACACATTTCTGAGGAGATCAGATATAGGTTAGGACACCAACACAGAACCTCTGGGATATGGAGTAAGGTTTTATGGAGTCTACAATTAGGTAAGTATTTAAGTAATTAGGTAAGTAATTTGGACTACTTAAATTGTGAGAACCAGAAAATGCAACCAACTTCTAAGACTGAATTTGTAAATAATAAACCAAACTAAATACTGAAAAAAATGATATTATGTTTAGTTGTTGAGGCTTTTTTCTGTCAAATATATGTTTGTTTTCGACATTTTTGGACGCTAAAAATGAATAACTTGTACTTAATGGCCGTTTTGCCTGGAAACTACATTAATTAAATAAAGTACACATGTAAAGCCACTGGGTATGGTCACATTTTTCACTGTGCTATCACTTTAATCCAGGACGGAAACTCTGACAGCATCAAAACTGACCTCAAGAGTCTCATCTCCTCCTCTGTCACACTGATCTCCAGGGGAGGACTCACACTGGACGAACAGAGTCTCTTTTTACCCGGTGTGTCTGGGTCATCCTCATAGGACTCTACACGAGACACAAGAAAGTACCAAATACATGTCTGTATTTCTTAGGTGCCAGAGCGTTCGTGCAAATCCTCAGAGCCTGACTACATTTTTGGCCACACAGCTCATACATAGATTTGCATATATGCTTTCTGTGCCCAAACCTGAATGAAGCTCTGATAGAAGTTGCTTCACGCAGGTTACTGGTTTTACCTGTTAGAAGCCCCTCCAGACGGACTCTCTCATGTGCAGCATGTTGATCGACCAGCACCAGAAGGTTTCCTGAAACAGTAAATACAGAAAAACATATACTGCAAAAGGTTCAGCATCTTCATGAACAGACAAAAGTTAGGTTGCCAGAGCCAACTGAAAAGCCATTAATCAAACAGAACACTGGAAAATTAAGCTAAAAATATTAAATATATAGAAATATACAGTAGTATGTAGAACACCTGGCCAAATACTTTGTAGATTTACTTTGTAGAAGTGACAAATAAGTTCAAAGACATGCAGTCAGGCAAATTGGAGATGCTAAATTGGTGTGAATGTGTGTGTGAGTGTATATGTCTGTGTTTGCCCTGTGATGGACTAGCGGCCTGTCCAGGGTGTTTCCTGCCTTCTGCCCAATGAGTGCTGGGATAGGCTTCAGCACCGCCCTTCGACCCAGGAGGATAAGCAGCTTAGATAATGGTGGGTATGTGTGTTCAATATGTTCAATTCAGCAAATAAACACACGCACACAATCTAAACCGCGTATCCTCCTGGGCCGTGGGGTGGTGCTGGAGCCTATCCCAGCTGTCATTGGCTGGAAGGCAGGATACACCTGGACAGGTCACCAGTCCACCGCAGAGCAGACAGACAGACATATATATTAGCAAATAAACAGTAATTGTGTATTAAAATCTGCAGAACTGTGTTTTCTGTAGAGGATGTGTTAACTTATCTTCACTTTAAATTGACCGGGACTCCCAAACTTTTGCATGCAGCTGTACGTACCTCCACTTTCCGTTGTCTCATTAGTGTTCTGGCCTGTTGTGTTTAAGAGACAGGCAAGAAATTTCTTGTCTACTTGATGAATAACCTGCAGTATGAACAAATAACTAGGCTTAGTATCAGCTTAATGACTAATTTCTCTTTACTCACATAAAGTTGTTGAGGAGAACATTCAGAGTGAACATAAATTACATTTAAATGATTTCAATGAAGGTAGTACTTGCCTTCATTGAGTGGATCATATCTTTAGTGAAGCGGTAAGGGAAGAGAATGTTATGGATTTTCACGGCAAGGCCTTCTGCTTGACCACTGGTCACATCCACAGCAACCTTTACAATCACAACAAAATAATATGTAGTCAGATGAAATATCAGAGGTTAAATTCTAGGCACAGGATCTTTTGAATAATGAATAGGAATAGTGTCAAAGTATCAGAACAGAGGACAAGCTTTGTCTGTTATAATGATTTCAAACATATTTTTTTCTGTATACTATGAATAAGAGACAAAACAGTGAAACCATTCCTCTATAAATTACTCTGCTGGTTCACTGCTGTATTTCCTCGTTTTGGCCCCGTAGCAGTACCACAACTGGGGCTGAAAACTACTGCTTTACATGTTGAAATAAGCTCTGTTCACTGCCGGCTGATGATCTAATTGATCTTTCCATGATGGCTTATCTGAGTATTATTTTTTGTTGAGGTTCATTGATTCCAAAATTCAAACATCCCTTGAGAGCAGACAGAATGTTATTATTACTATATTTGCATTTAATAGTAAAATTGATGTTGTTTGGTTTATGTTCAGTTGACTTTGTGGTCAACTGAACATGATTCTGAGTACGTTTTAGAGAAGAAAGGACAGAGAATAACCTTACCATTGCTTCCTGTAACAATGCAAAGTTGGACTATTTATATACACACACACACACACACACACACACACAAACTGGGCTACTGCACAACACCCTTCCACCCTACATACACACTGCTATATTGATAAGCATTTATAAAATTTATGAACCCCTTAAGACCATACGACCATAATATAATAATAATTAATGAAGTTACTACTTAAATATTATTTAATGTTTTGTTTTAAAATATTGCAAAAGATACTATTACATAATAATGTCTATAGTATAATATAACACACAATCAACTACAAATAAATTTCAGGGTTTTATTTACATGTTTATATATTTTTATTTATATATTCTATAAATAAGTTAAGCTTCTCTATGTAAGTTTTGGGGATTTGGAGACCTCTCTGGTGGAAATGCATAACTGTATGCAATGTGTGGAAGAACATTTTGTAACGTGGGTTGTACTTCTGACCCCCTCGAGCGGATGAATCTGATGATTGTCAGAGTGTTAGAAGAGCATTCAAAGCAAAGTCAGTCAAAACTTGGTGAAGGACAAGTCTTCTGATGATGTAAGCAAATTATCTACTATCGTTATTATTTCTCCATAAGTATATGGTTGATTTTGCATTTAAAACATCAAGCCAGACCCTATTTTTGAGGCTGTGCGTATGACGCTAATGCATAAAGACTGAAGACATGGTACGAAAAACTCTTGCCAAATTCGGCCTGACACCTCTGACTTTTAAATTATTTCAGACTTTACAGGGCGACTCACAGCAGCACTCAGACATCATGATTTAGCTTGTTTTTTTCCTTCTGATTCAGTAACGATGTAAAAAAAATCTTACATAGTGCAGCTTTATATAATCTTATAATAGTCTTACAACAAATCCTATGATGAGAAATTTAACATACATCAACATATATTTAAAATGCTTTCACTTGCCAAGATATGTGCATGATCAGTGATGGGTGGCGCTGAGCAAAACAGTCAAAACACAAATCAATACAGCTTGCTTACCTGAGGGGGTCGTACAAACACTGGGTTGCTCCACTCAGAGAAAAGAGCTGACAATGAGCCAGGACCTTCATCTTGCTCATCATGGAAACAGCGAGAGAAGCACAATCAGTGGGAGTCATAACACATTTTGTCATCTTGCCTACTTTGACTACTGTCATGCATTACCTCTGTCGTCTATGTTTGAACTAAGGGCTCTTTCTGCTCTAGGTTTGGGGAGAAAGGGTAGTACAATATCTGTCTGAAAAGGGTAGCACCTGTACTCAAACCCTACAGGCAAAGAAAAATTGATTAAAATATATAATTCATAAACACAAAGAGTATCAGTCAAAAGACAGATCTCTTAACAGAATGGCATTTACTTATTTTAACTATTTTCCAATTTTTTTTAAAACAACAATAAAGATAAAACTGTTTTATTACTATTTTATTACATGGACTACATTTTATTACTAAAATACTTCAAAAATACAATTTTAAAGAGAAAACAACAATTTAGGTCATGGGCCAAATATGGCCCGGGGCCACACTTTGGGCAGCCTTGGTTTTGGTGATGCTGCAGTACCGGGATATGGATTTTATTAATTTACTACATTTGTAACACTATAGAAATAAATATTATACTTTTTTATACTCCAGGCTGACCTAGTCCCAATGTGTAAATATAATGAATGTTTCAGTATCAGAATTGGCAGACATGTATATGAAAAACAACAGATATTGGCATCAACAGCTGTTTTGCTGTATATCGCTGTATTGCTAAGCGGAGCACTTTTTGGCTGCTGCAAACTATTGCTGGTGGAGGGCTTTTTCTGTTTGTTTTGCTTTGGAATTAAATTGATAAATAGGCACTAACTTGCACACTATTTATATTTGCGATAGAAGCATATTTCAAGCATAAGCCTAAAGACCAAATGTCTATATGGTTGTGAAAAACATGCATTCAGTCAGGCATATCTAAACCTTTTGGCTGCTACTGCATCAGGGACAATTACAGTGACTAATACAGTATATTTTGTTGTATTGTGTTTGTAAGAAGGACTTAAACTCAGATGTGGTTCATAAGACTGAGTTGGGGACATGGAGAACACAGTGAATTGGAATGAAATTTGCTACAACACCTGTTTTGGAAACAACACTGACTGCCATATTGGTGACATCTGTGGTGCAGGGCACTGGTGTCGCCTCCAATGAAGGAGCTTCATATTTACTGAGCCCCGTCACTTGATTGATGTAGACCAGCTTTCCCAACGAATCATCGTAATGTGTCAGCCAGTCACTTGATACCGGGACCAACCCATCACTCTCATGGCCTTGTCTTTCATCTGGAGCCTGGTCCACATTTCCTGTTTTGGAGGGCACAAGGTCATGTTGTGATGCAGGGTTAATTATTTGACCTGAGGGGATAGCTGGCTCGGGGGAAGTCGTAATTTTAGAAGTGAGCTGAGTGTCTCCATTTGTGGAGGTGAAGGTGGGTGTTGATGGGTCATGTCCATGGGGAACAGTGAACGTGGGTTCATCTGGATGGCCATCTTCAACGGAGTCATTTGTTCCAGAGTTCTGGACTGTCACACTTTGTTTTGAAGACCCATCACTGCTCTTGAACATATCCCAATGAGAAAACTTCTCCACAGAGTCTACATCCTGCGTTGTAGAGTTAGGAAATGTTTCAATGATGGGGGTCTCTTCATTTTTGGTATCTTTGAGGTTACCTTCAGACAGTTTCTTGCTCTGTACCTTGTCACATTTTAAGTGAGAGAGCTTTGCAGCCAATGATATTCTACTCCTCGTGCTAACTGATATAGAACTTTTGAGTTTGGTGTCAGCATAAAGTGTAAGTGAACTGTCTTTCAACAAAGAGTTGTCTTCTACTTGCTCAACCCCAAAGCTGAGTGAACTACTGCTTGCTTGCAAAGCAGGCAACGCAGAACATTCAAAAGGTCTGGAAACTGATGGATGTAAACCATCAGTGATTTGTGCGTCCGTGGCTTGCCGTTTTGTTTCAGCTCCCTTGCCATACATCCTTTTAAACTTGTCGAGCGATCCGGTTTCAAAAGACAGTGTTAATTTGTGACACGGTGTGACCTTAGCGATCTTAGGCCCCCCACCACTTTCACCTATGTGACTCTGAGCATGGAGTAATGAGAACTTCCTCTTTGGTGCACGGTGAAGATTTTGTTCAGTGAATCTCCTCAAACTATCCTGGGCTTCTTTATGATCAATCATAGCAATCCTGGTATTTTCACTATGTGTCATCTTATTATTGTTAACACTCATTGGAAAGTCAATGTCAATCAAATCAAGGCCCTGTGCACTCTGATCATCTTCATGCGTATTCTGGTCTTTACAATCGTCAATCTGCAGCACAGACACTGAATTGGGCTGCAAAGGCTTGTCGACATCACAGTTCTGAACTTCACTTTCTGGTTCTATATCTGAACTTGCCCTGGATTCTGCATTTGAGGACGCCTGTTCAAAAATCAGTTCAAAACTCTGGACCTCCTGATCTTCAACAATGTCTTCTTGATTAGTGTCTGTTTCCCTAGTTGAGCTAGAAGGTCCTGTTTCTTTCAAGTCATCTTCAGAGTTTTTGTGGCAAGCTTGAGTCTTTGCATTACTGCATGGACTGCTTGTTTGGCCACAAAAGATACTCTCAAAGTTTTGGACGTCACTCACCAAAAGTTCTGATACCAAGTTTTCCTTTGTGAGGAACGTTTTTACACCTTCCTCAATGCAGATGAGGACACTATCCCAGTCTTTGAACTCTATGAGACTCTTCGCTGGCTCTAGGCATACATCATACTCAGAGTAGTGGCACTTGATGTTAATGACATAAACTCCATGTAAATCAGTCCCAGCCCGTTGTTTAGGACTTGAGATAATAGGAGATGCGTTTGGACTGTTGTTGGGAACATTTGAACTACTCAATTTCCTAAGAAGGCAGTTGAGAAGTTTGTGAATGCGCGTTTTCAGAAGCAGTCTGCTGTTAACGAAGAGGAACTGTAAGCTGTTGTTGTAGTGGCCCTCGCGACCAATGTATCCGGTAATTTGAAACTGTTTATAAGTGTAGTTCACCTCTCCAAGCTTTTGAGCCCTCGCCAAACCATGGATTTGAACAAACCTGTAATAGGTGTTCCTAGCTTTGGAAAGCTGCACCAGCATGGTACCAGAGCAGTCCTTTTTCACAGTGAACGACACAGACGGATGCATCAGGGATATGGCCTCCACCCTCTGACGAAGGCGCTCAATCTCCAGAACAGAGTCCATCCTCTTTCTCCTGACCGGCATGTTATGAAAGAAGTCACAGATAAGCACTGTAGTGCCGGCAGATGGACGAGTATCCTGTGCCTCAAAAACGTCCAACCCCTTACCTTCATTGAACATTTTAACAAACGTTTTTACAGACATCTTCGTCCGGGAGGATATTTCCACCAGGGCTGCAAAGGAGATGATGCTGGCAATGGCCTCCCCTCTGAACCCATAAAAGCGAAGGTTATCCAAATCCTCCAGCGAGCTGCATTTGCTTGTGCAGTACCTCATTCCTACCTTCTCCATGTCCTCTCGGCCCATCCCAGAGCCGTTGTCTATGACCTGGACTTTGCAGGCTTCTATGTCTATCTTCACAGCAACACATGTTGCTCCAGCATCAATACTGTTCAGTACAAGCTCCTCCACACACTGCTGCAATGAGAAAATGGCAATTCCAGAGCGCAGCTTTGCTTGGACTTCTTTGGATAGAGTCCTGATCATTCTGAAACACAAGATAGCAGAATTAGCTTAAAATCACTGTGAACCAAGGCACACAATAACAATGCATGCCCCATTATAATATACGCAACATAACATGCCCTCCTACCGGGATAAGCACCCCCTTATGGGCACATTTAGTCTTTAAATTATGCACATTTACCTCAAAATTCAGGTTTTGAGAAGTGTTAGAGTCAAGCTGGTTAAAACTGATAAGTAGCACTTTTAAAACAGGTATCTCATCACCTTGCTTCTTTCCTCAGATACAACGACGTATTAGCCGGCTAAAGTAGGTAGCTTCCTGCAACACCGCCATGTTTAGTATGTCAGCTGTTGGTATCACAGCAGTAATGTAAATGAAGCAACATGTTTTAATGTACGGCAAACTGGACACCAAAGCGGGTACGGCTATCCTCACAAACACTCACTGCACCGGGTCTGTTATGAACTACAACGGACGCAGCAAAGTTGCGACATCCGACTTGGAAACGAATCTTTCTTTTGAACAGGTTCATTTAAATGAATCGGTTCAACCAGATCAGCTGAATCGAACATGTTTGTAGCATGTATCCAGTATTCACGTCCGTGTTATAGACTGAAGACGTCTAATAACATTTCGATTATCTTTTACAATTTAACATATTAAAAAGACAAAATAAAACAAAATCTGGATCGATCTTGGTCTTGCGAGGCTACTAAACACGATTAAAAAAATAAATAAGTGTCCATTTAGCAAATTTCTTTTTGTCTTTAAAATAAACAAAATAAGCCTTGTTGTCATGTTTTTACTTAAACAGTTTTTGTGTACGTTTTGAAGATTTTTTTTTTCTAAGATTCTAATCAACAACCGAATTTTAACGCAAAAAAGATAGGTAGTAGATATAAATAAGTGTGTATTTGTGCACAGTTATGCATGTATATGTAAGTGTGTCAGTAATCAGTCCCTGCACGCAGCCTGTTTTTAGCTAACAGTTGATTCAGTCGTTCGATGCTGTTTCGGAGTCGGTTCGGTGAACTGAGTCGAACCCTCCTACTGGTCACTGCCAGCGCCGTTGACGCAGTTCCTGTGACGCACCAAGATTTTAAAATATTGTCCTTCTCAGTAATGGCGGCTTCGTTCTCGTCTCCTTCGGCGAATAACAGTAAATGGTACTTCACTCGCGAACAGATCGAAAACAGTCCGTCTCGGCGAGCGGGACTGGATCCCGACAAAGAGCTGTCGTACAGACAGCAGGCTGCTAACCTGTTACAGGACATGGGACAACGGCTCAATGTGTATCCTTCTCTCTCTCTCTCTCTCTGTCTGTCTCTCTTCCCGATAACGTTAGCTGTAGCTCACCGCGCAGCGAGGCTGAGCTCAGTTTCCTTTTTGTCAGCTTCTTGTTCCAGTTTTTCCGTTCCACTTTAAATGGTGCTGCACTGTTTAAGGAGAAACGGGGAAATTCGATCAAGAAGCCGGAAAAAAAGCTGAGTTCGGGTAGCTAACGTTAACGTTAACGTTAGCTAGCTGGCTAAGTCGCTGCGTACTCTTTAGATCTGTGAGCCGGTTCGGACGGTCCGCTGGGTGCTGGCCCGGTACATAGGCGGGGTTGGTCCGCTGTTTTGTGGTTCGGAAAACATTTCATTCGATGTTCAAGTCTTAATTTTCTTGTCACTTCGTGCTGAAACAGTCTGTCGTGAATGAGCGCCCCGGCTGAGGCGACGTTAGCCTGCAGGCTGAGGCTTGTGGGATGTGTAGGCCTCGGCCTAGCCTCCCTCAGAACAATAGCGGGGACGCTGCTATGCTATCACAGTCTCTGTCTTGTTCGTATCGTCCAGTTTGTGTCTGCTGTCTTTTTACCACTGTAAAATAAGTATTGTAGAAGGCCCTTTTTAGCCAGCTAGTGGCTTCTCGGTTTATGTGTTTAAACCAGGCTGATTTTGCACTTAATATTAACGCTAGCTAACGCAGCGCGCTAGCCAGCTAATATAATGTTAGTGTTTATTCACGGCTAATTTCGTTTTTAAGATCAAATAATTCATTTTTAGCTGTCCTTTTAGTAGTTTAAAGTGTCTAAGCTAAAATATATAGGACATATTTTGCTGTTGTACATTTACCGCTAGGCAGCTTGTTTTAGTAACGTTATCAGGAACGGTTTCAGTTTCGATATCCTGCAGTAACGAAGCCTTACGTTTGACTTGGTGCTTGATTTGTTTTGATTGCATGTCTTCAGTGTTTCTGGATAGCTGTAATCCTTAACCACACACAAACAGGTCCCAACTCACTATTAACACTGCCATCGTCTACATGCATCGTTTCTACATGATCCAGTCCTTTACACGCTTCCACCGTAACGTAAGTGCCACCTTATGAGCTTGCACTTCGAGTCCAACTTACCGTGATGTTTACTGACAGATTTTGTGTTTGGTTTAAATGGTAACTTCCAACGTGTGTTGTCATGTTGTGCTCTGATGCAGGTGATCGCTCCAGCCACACTGTTTTTAGCAGCAAAGGTGGAGGAGCAGCCTCGCAAGTTGGAGCATGTGATAAAGGTGACCCATGCATGTCTCAATCCTCAGGACCCTTGTCCAGACACTAGGAGTGATGTAAGTATTGCCTAGATGGTGTGATTATGGAGATATGTCACATGTGTGCATGTATGAGTGATCTGTCTTAAGAACTTTGTGAATTTGGCCTAAGCAACATTGTGGTCTGTGATGGGTAAGTGGTCTCCATAAACCACTACAAAAGAGTTTGGTCAGTGTTTTGAGGTGATTTTGAATGATGAGTCGATGTTTTGCGTTTGTTTTTTCTGGCTTAAATGCCGTACAATTACTTGCTCAGATTTCTAAAATCCAGTACGCCACACCTTTACTTTAATTATAGCTACTGTTAAGCATATTGAAAAAAATCATGTCAGCCAGTCGCTGTTGCACAGCTTGATTTTGTTCAATTGATATTTTCTTCTTCAAGCAGTATTCTCCGCAGCAATTGGCTGTAAAATGATTCAGCAGAGCTTTGATGTTTCTCAGAAGCCACTATGCCTTGTACCCATTTTGTGTGCTAATTCTCACACTGAGATTTTAATTCATGACTTTTCTTCCTCTCAGGGTGGATGTTTGTGTGCCTGTTACTACAGTCTTATCTCGCCTGTGTCTCTATATATTTGTATTCTGGATCTGTTCTTACTGTCATGCATTGACTTAAAGTGATGGATCTAAGATGTTTATGATTGGCTGAAAAGAGTTGCAGTAAGGGAGTGAGAGAGCGAGAGTGATATGAGAGCGTGCGACCCTGTGAGTAACCTGCCTGTCCTCTCGATCTCAGACTTACCTGCAACAAGCCCAAGACCTGGTCATTCTTGAGAGCATTATACTCCAGACCCTCGGTAAGTTTGGAATGGTGAAAGTGGGTCTATGAGTCACCACATTAGAGAGAAGCACTGATTAACCCCATTTGCTCCCGTTCGCAGCACAGTACCAGGAGTCAGCGGGAGTATTGCAAAGCTCCTTGTAAACAGCCATTGTTGCAACTGTCTCACCTTTTTCAGTTTTTCCCTGTTCCCATGTCAACCTGGCAACGTAGTCATCTGTGTGTTTTCCTTTGTCGTACCATTAGAGGATTTTTGAGCCATTCTATTCTGTGCAGGCACCATTTGGGCCAGTTTCCCAGAAACAGCTTAAGCCTAAGACTAGACTGAAAAGAATTTGCAATTTAGTCCAAGACTAGGCTTAACCCATTTCCGGGAAACCATCCCTTTGTTTTCAGACGTGTTATTGTCCAGTATAACATTGCTGTCATAACAAAACCTTATATCTCCACAATAATCACATTTTGGAAAAGGGAAATACATTACTTTAGTGTAACGGTTTTATTCCAAGTAAGTTTGGTCCATTTCTGTTGGTCAGTTCATCATAATGAATTGTTCACGCAGTGTAAAGGGTATCTGGAGTTTCAAAGGTTGTTGGGGGGGGAAAAAAGAAAGAAGAGGAAATACTGAGTTATGAGGTTTTGCAATGACAGTGACATCTAAGAGTATAGATATCTTTTCTACTGCACATTCAAAAACTGACCCAAACGGGAACCAGTGGAACTTAAGGTTCTGGTTCATTTTCCATCTATGGATATTCAGCTGGAACCATCCTGATGACCACAGCTAACGTTTTTTTTTTTGTCTTTTTGTCCTAAAGTGTCTAATTTGGCTAATTAGCTATTTTGATCGTTATAGTTAGTTTAACTTATTGACATGAGGTAACATACAATATACTGCACTGTTCTGCACACATACACTTGCACAAATTTCTACAGTAACACAGAATTGTGTGGAATTAAACAGCTTTATTTTCTGTCAAGTGTGAAAAAAGTAGCAAAAAATGTTATACCCAAGTATTGGCTATTGTTTTTGTCATATTTTTGTTATTTTTGCTTTCCTCTCTGTAAAAGTGGTTGACAGTATGAGTGGCTCAAAAATATCGTGGTAAATTTGCCAAAAAAAACCTTCCTTTTTTAACTCATTCATATTTGTCCTATCTAGGCTCAGTCATCTGAAGAATCAGAGCACTTCATTACAGTCAGTCAAAGCCGTGTCCTTTTTACATGGTCAAGTGTACAATGATGAAAATCCACATTGCCATGCTCACTGAATTTTTTAGCCTATCTACAATCTAAACCAAGCTACATTGCATTGTACAGGTCTGGTTCATAGCCATTTAGCAAAGTTGAAGATGCTGCTGTTTTATGTAGTCTCACATGTCCTTTTTTGCTTTGTTTCTCCTCTGCCTTTGTCACTCCAGGTTTTGAGATCACCATTGACCATCCTCACACTCATGTAGTCAAGTGTACCCAGCTTGTACGAGGTAGGTTTTTACCTTTTTTAGTAGCTCTGTCTCATGGTCCTGTGCCAATGCATGGTATTTCATCCTCCCAGATGATTGTGGAGATTTGTCAGGCTTATTTGTATGGATGTTTCATTTGGGATGTTCTTACATTTGTTGTTCCAGCGAGTAAGGACTTGGCCCAGACATCATACTTTATGGCAACCAACAGGTGTGTTAAATCTTGTTCAGAACAAACCAGATAAACAGCTTTTCTCACTAATACAAGATTATATTCAGCTTTTATTTAGCTGATTATAGCTTGTTGGTTTGTTGATGACTGTATTAAATGTGCCACTCTAATCAGTTCCCCTCTGTGTGTGTTTTATTTGGGTTTTTTGTTTTGTTTTTTGTTTCTTTTTTGTTGTTTTTTGGGGGCAATCATGGACCATCCCACAGTCTACACTTGACCACATTCTGCCTGCAATACAGCCCACCTGTCGTTGCCTGTGTCTGCATTCATTTGGCCTGCAAGTGGTCCAACTGGGAAATCCCTGTGTCCACTGACAACAAGCACTGGTGGGAGTATGTCGACCCAACAGTCACTCTTGAGCTCCTGGATGGTATGTTTGTTAGAAGTAACACAAATAAATTATGGTCTTTTGTTGTGCATTCAGTCTCTTCTATTTTATTCTATGCTGGTCTCCTCATCTTATTGTTGGAAATTGTTTTACAGAGCTCACTCATGAGTTCCTGCAGATTTTGGAGAAGACCCCTAGCCGTTTGAAACGCATTAGAAACTGGAAGGTAAGTAATCTTGACCGCAGGGTTTTACTGTTATTGTGGAGCTAGTAAGCCCTGTTCACTGTTTGTTTTTGCCAAGTTTTTCTTTTCTCGTACGTCAGTGGTTCTTCTTTTTGGACCAAGTGCCACCCCCAAGTAGAACTGAGAAATATGACTATATTTATAGAGCTAAAGTCACAGTGTGCTAATGTCACTGTGTGCTAATAGCATTGTAGTTTTTAACCTTGTATTGTTTTCAGGTTCTTAATGCTTCATGATTAGTCTGCCATCCATTGCTTTTAAGATGATCTACCCACTTCCATTAGCTCAGGCTACGTTCACACTGCAGGCAAATCTGATTTTCTCACCAAATCCGATGTTTTTGTTCGGCTGTTCACATTATATTTTTAAATGTGACCTGTATGCGACATCAGTCTGAACAGATCACACTCCTAAACTGACCTGCATGCGCAAAAGAACAATGCTTCACATTGCTTCATGTGGTGCGCTCATCCTGAGGTAAACAATCCTGAATATGAACAAACGCCAGTCGCTCCCGGACCTTTGTTTCACCTTCGCCAGCATCACAGGAGCGATCATGAAGTTCCCATGGCTGACAGCTGGGCTCATCACCCAGAATGTGTTCCAGCTCGCAGTAATAAAGGCACGTTATTCATCCGCGGCCACTTCTTTGGTTCGCGTCCTCGGATTCTTTAAACTTTGCTTTCAGACTTTTAACTGTTTTTGACCCTGCAGCCTCGGTCTCCTACAGCTGCGTTCGGCCATTTCTTTCGAAACCTCTGCAAACACGGAGCAGTTGTGATAAGTCTCTTCTAATTTTTAGTACAGGAACGTCAGCCTAAATGTTTGAGTTCTCAGCGAATGTCGAGTTGGATTGATGTAAAAGTTGCATGAATTCTGATCTGGCTGGTCAGACTGAGTCGTATTGCCACAGATCGGATACGTATCTGATTTCAGTACCACATATGAAAGCATCTCAGATCGGAATTGAAAATGTCAGATTCGGTGTGTTTTTCGCTGTTCACACAGCCACACAGATGACACATTGTGTCACAAACGAGGAAAAAGATCGGATGTGGACCTGCTGTGTAAACGTAGCCTCATACTCATTACTCACAAACTGCATCTCGGTGTGGTATGGCAACTGCTCCGCATCTGACCGCAAAGCGCTCCAGCAGGTGGTGAAAACTGCCCAACACATCACATGTACCCAGTTAACCACCATTGAGAACATTTGCTATAAGCGCTGTCTGGGCAGGGCGAGCAACATCAAGGATCTTTCTTATCCTAACCATGGACTTTATACCCTCCTCCCGTCTGGCAGGCGTTATGGGAGCCTCCGCTCCCACACCAGCAGGCTCAGGAAGAGCTTCTTCCCTGAATCTTGAAGTTGAATCTAATCTAATCTACTCTAGTCTGATTACTGATTTGAGTGACACCCACATTTGTGTTATAATAAATAATAAGTATCGTTCAGTAATATAGAAATGGAAGTGTATAGATAGAAATGTACAATATAGAAATGAAGGTAATGATATTGATGTTATCAAAAAAATCTTAGCAAAAGTGTGCTAACCACATCAGGTTCAGTAATAGAAAGGTAGTAAAGGTGCCCAATATATTTTTTTTCTTACTGTCAAAAGGTGTTACCAACTTATCAGTGTTGGTGTCTGTTATTGCTGTCTGCTATTTTTAGCTGGGGATACTCATTATTGATTGTTTGTTCTCTTGGAAATGTGGTGATAAGCTTTGAACGCTTGAAGAGTATGAACATTTAAGTATTAAAGCATGCAGGTGAAGCAAATGTATAAGCTGTGTTTTGCACAAAGCTGGTCTTCTTTTTTTTATTATTGAATCTGTCAAAACCAGCCTTAGGGTTACAGATGAAAAATTAGGGATCATGATTTTTTTTTTTTTTTATAATTTGTGCACATACCATTGGTAATATATAGAATCGTTTATGATCATGCTTCATTTCTTGGGACCAGTTATATCATCTTTATTATCCTCTTCTCTATTTTCAGGCGGCAGGCCAGACAGCAAAAAAGCCCAAAGTCCCGGAGGAGGGTGATAAGACAGAGACCATGATGAACATGATCTCCATGGCGTCATCTGGAAGTACACTGGCTGGCCTGATGAGCCTCTCAGCTCCTCCCTCTGGCTCCTCCTCCTCCATGGCATCTTCTTCTGCAGATGAGAAGGACCGCAGCTCGGCTGGAGGCTCCCAGCAATGGCAGCCTGGGGGCAAAGAGCAGCAGCAGCAGCAACCCAACCACGAGCTGCAACCTCCTGCTAGAGTCTCCATGAGCCTGAGCGAGTACCGGGCCAAGCATGCTGATGAGCTGGCAGCCCAGAAAAAGAAGCTGGAAAACATGGAGGCCAGTGTGAAGCGGGAATACGCCACAGCTGCCCAAGCCTTGTTGGGTCAGCAGAGGAAGGAGAAGCACCATCACCATCACCAGCAGCATCCCAGCTCCCACAGTTCAGGCTCCAGCACTTCAGACCCAAGTAATCCATCACCTATTGTCCTCAAGATCCCCCTGGACGAGCGGCAGGATCGCGGCTCACTGAAGATGCGCCTGCACCCCGGGAGTGGTCAATCACAGGGGCACAGCAGCCGAGGCCCTGAGCAGGACATTAAAGTGCGCATCCGTGTGCCAGACAGACGAGGAGGTTCGGGAGAAGAGGGGAAGAGTAGGGAGAAGCACAGAGAACGGTCCAATCATCATCACCATCACCACCATCACCACCACCACTCTTCTTCTAGTAGCGGCTCCATCTCTTCATCCTCCTCTTCCTCCTCAGCACATAAACACTCTAGTTCTGCGAGCGCTTCTGGAAGTAGCAAAAAAGTCCCTTCAAGCGACCCCATGAGAATGAGTTCGTCTTCATCTTCATCTTCCTCCTCTTCATCCAGAAAACGAACACACCCCTCGGAGCCTTTAGCAAGCTCCCACCCTTCTAAAGTCAGTAAATCCTCTAGGAACTCGTACCAGATGCCTCCCCTGCCCCTGCCTCTAGCTCACGGTGCAGACATCTTGCCCTCTCTGGGGCTTTCGCACCATCAGGAGAGCTACTCGCACTCCAAAGGTGACAAGGCTGACACCAACGGCCACGGTGCTGCCGGTGGGAACCAGTCCAACGAGTACCAGGACACATTCGACATGTTGAATTCACTGCTGAGCGCCCAGGGGGTGCAGCCCACCCAGCCACAGATGTTTGACTACCACTCCCAGTACAGATACGGAGGCGGCTCGAGAGGAGGAACATCCCAGCTCCCGCCTCTCCCTTCGGAACCCCCTCCACAGCTTCCACCTCTGCCTAAATGAACCCCGACCCCTCCCCGTCCATTCAGCCCAGCCAGTCATGTGCACAGTCCTGGCCTGGGCTTCCTAGGTTCCGTCCCTATGAATTGTCAGACTTTTATGTTGACAAAGTACCACTAATTTGACCTCTCTATCCATGGTTCACTCGCAAGTGCGTTCTTTCTACTGTTGCTAAGCAGGTGAAATTTGGGCTTCGCTCATCAAAAATACTAAATCACACTCTTAGCATAGATTGTGGGACTTTGACAAATATACAGATTAGTCCAAAAAAAGAAAAACATACTGCAAATTTATGTATTTTTGACAAAAACTGAGTTGTGCATTTCAGTTTCTCTCTTGATTGAGTGGGGACATAAAAATTTAATACTTGTTCTCGCAACAGTAGGCAGGTTTTACAGGTTTTTTTTTAAAGGTTATTTAATCACTTAGCCCCCCTTTTAATGTCATTGTGCATGGGTGTTCCATGACACCTGTCTGTGTGGCAATAATGGTTAAATTAAAATAGAGCAAAATATAGCAAAAAAAATGCAAAAGCAAAATGTTATTTATTTAAAAAAAATGTACATACTATTTTTGATGTCACTGAGTTTTATATATACAGTATGTCTAAAAATGGAAAAAAGTGAAACATTTCTGTAACTGACCGATGGGGACCTTGTGTTTTGGCCATTGTCCTCTTTTGAGTGTAACTCTTGAATAGGAAGATGAAATGTGCTTGTTTTACATATGGATTTTTAAGACTTGCTAACAATATTAGTGTCTTTTTTCTAAACTATATTTATTAATAGCCTTTTTCGGAACGTAACTAGAGGTTGTTGCTTTTGAAGTAATCTGGATTTATTTTTGTATTGTTTTAGCCTGCTCCTATGTTTTGCATCTTATTCATTTTGTGACCGTTGAAGAGAATGGAAATCCAAACCACATCTTAACTTCCAAATTTGCATCAAAATGTATGTTTCTAAAGTATGACTTGTCTTTCCCCTGCCAAATGTTAGCTTGGTATTAGTTATGTAAATGGTTAAATACATGAAATATTTTACTTTTTTTTGTTTTGTTTTGTTTTTGGAAAGATGGAAAGCCTAACCTAGGAGAACCTGTATTATGAATTTAGACTTTGTGGGAAGCAGTCATTGTTTTAAATGGTTGTAAAATCATGCTGAGTATATTATACACATACACATTTCATTCAATACTGATTCAAGCAGTATCTAAATGGAAGGTTTTAACAGGTTTTGTTTTTGTGTTGAACGTAACCTGTGACATGTGGACACGATAAAAAAATGAGCCTGTGATTTGTTTTTTTAGAATTGACTCTGACTTTTAAAGCAGGAAGTTAAATAACACTTAATTGCAAGAGACCATAAGCCATTGTGAAGCATTTACATACTACAAAATCATGCCGTGTTTAATAACTTGCTTTACTATGTCTACCAAAGTTGTACTTGGACACGTTTAACAGCACAGTGACGTAGCTCACGATACACCAAACATAGCTGACGTAATTGATTTTGAAGTCACGTCTCTATTTTAAAAATGTTTGTGCTTAAGTGTATTTGAGTAAAGCTTGTGTTCATGTTCAGCTTCTTGCTCAGTGGGGACACCTCTGTATTGTCTTTGCATTAACATTAACATTGTTAATGGTTTTCATGTCAAAAATCATTGTGAAAATATGTCAAGCAAGTCCAAGTCCACTGAAGACAGCATTAAACTAGCGCTTGCTGTACCTGCTGCATGTTAATGATCCAGTATTGAGTATTATTAACACTCATTCTTCCCTGGCCTGAGGGTATGGGGTGTACTTCACCATGCCTCGTCACCAAAAACTCAAAAGACCGTGCTCTTTATTCTCCCTATTGATTCTACAGATGGTGCTGGAGATAAAGGGGTCAAATGAGATGTTTTTGTTGTGTTGAGTCATGGTCCCGAGAGATGGGCACCATGACAGTGGGGGAAAGGCAATATTATTGCTTTCATGCAATTCATATCACCACTGTATCTTTCATGTGTGAAGAAAACGAGATGATTTTATCAAATGTACATGTTTTCTGTCTACGTTCAGTGGTACCACATGAACTCTCAGGTTTTGGATCGAATTGTTTGAGCATCTTCTCGGGCAGATGAACTTAAGGGTTGCATTTCGTGAACTCTGTTCCTTTTATAAATGTGGTTGATATAATCTCATGTAAATAAATGTTTTATGAGAAACAGAAGCCCGCTTCCTGGAGCGTTTCAGTATCCGTCATACGTGTAACAGTGTGGGTTGACCATTTGCATAATCTTGGATTATTTGTTGGTGTTACATTTCTGACACCAACCCTTAAAAGATGCTGTGAATCACCAGAGAGGATAAAATAAGTTATTTGCTAGTAATTGTTTCTTTCGTGTAGCTCATTAAAACAAATGGAGAAATTCTGGTTCTAAACTCAAAATTCGAATGTTTGTCAGATTTATCCCATAGTACCAAGTCAAGGTGAATGGCCATGTGGTTTGACTGGGGGGTGACTCCATGAATGGGGTGCCATTACTGTCCCACTGACATTACTTTTTACAAATGTGGTGTGGTGGTTCATTGTATAGATTTCTTTACAGTGGTGCTGATAGGAACCAGGGGTCACTATGTCCACAACGCAAATGTAGCCGTTTTCTGTCCACTGGCGAACCTACACGTCTTAATATGTTCTTATATGTAATGCTGATGATGGTAAAATAGCAGAAAATCTGAAAAAAAAAAGTTTTCTTTGATGACTATGTTGCCTCACAACACCCTGCATGTATCCCTCCACTATGAATTGATTTTTACATATTTTAGAACCAAAAACGTCTCAAAACAACTGTAAAACAATGTCTCGGGCATCAGGCAGCGTATTCATGACTATTATTTCAATTAAGAACTTTCTGTGAGGGAGCTTTTAGAGGTGGACGTCTGGTTCCTATCAACACCACTGTGAAGAACTCAAAATTCGTATGTCGGTGTCTTTCACAGAAAGGAACATATTTTGCCACGTTGTTGTCATTTTTTAACAATATACTGAAAGATGAACAGCACTTTATTGGAGGGCCGTGTTGATCAGGATACGTAAGACCTTCGTGAGAACTGAAATAAACTTTTATAAAACTTTTATAAAGGTTTATTCCAATAGGCATCATTCATTACAACGGTCACATTAGTCAACTTTGATGTGAAACTGACAACATCTATGTCAACTAACCCCTTAAATGGCCAGGACCCAACAGGTCTGGAGTTTTATTACACACTTCTAATAACTCTGCCAGTTTGCATTGTAGTCCATGTAGTTACTGAATAATAAGCTACAGCATGTAATAAGCCTGAGATTTTAAAGGGAACAAACATAAACGTGGCATTATTCTGCTAATTATAGTGCACAATTTTTTATTTATTTGTAGAGTTTAACACATTGGACTGCATATGAAATATAAAACGTGCACAGGCCACATTTTTATTTTATCCCCAATATGTTAAATTCAGCAAATAAACAGTTGTGCAATAAAATGTGCAGATGTTTGTTCCCTGTGGAGGATGTGTTAACGTGTTGATACACAATGTAAACTGTAGTTAATTATTCTATTATTACATTTAAGTGGACAGTGATAACTCCACATTGCTGATGGTTAAAGAATATGTGAAAAAATATGAAGTGTTAAAAACCCCAATCCCAAAAGCGTGCTTTTATAATGACACCAAATCCAAATCTGGGTGAACAAAAAGTCACAAGCGCCCGTGTAATCCTGATTAACTTTCCATTCCTGGCATATTTGTCTTAGCCTCAATGTGTGACTTGTTGTTTTATTGACACAGTAATGCTGACTGCTATCCAAATCAGGATTAAGCTATTAAATTCTCTCAGCTAGCGCTCCCTGACGCTTTATCTCATCCGGAATATACCAAAATTAAAAGGATTATTATTGAAAATGTAGAAATTCTTGGACTACGTCGTCAAGGCTTAATGAGGTGAAGCTAATAAACTACAGAGTCAAGTTGGAGGTGAGAGATTCACTTTGTACAGTTGGGAAAATGTGTAATGCTAAAGCACATTACACTGCATGTAAATTGACCATGACATTCAAACAAGTTCCTTGTAATTGCAAATTCATTCAAATGGTGTCTGGTTTTCACTAATACGGTTCAGATGAGAGCTTCTGCTTCTGATGTCACATCTGAAGGTTTTCATTCAGACAGTTCGTTGATTTGTCTAGTGGTACTAAGTCAAGGCGAAGGCCTTGTGGTTGGACTGTTGGGTGATTCCATGAGTGAGGTGCCATTAATGTACCCCCTGACATTACGTTTTACAAACAAAAGTGGTGTTTAATCGTAGAGGCTCACATTTCTTTACAGTGGTGGTCATAGGAACCAGGGGTCACTGTGTACAACACAAATATATCCATTTTGTTTACTACCTAAAACCACCAGCGAACCTACATGTCTTTTATATGTAGCAGAAAATCTGAAAAAATAAGTTTTCTTTGGGGACTATGTTGCCTTACAACACCCTGCAAGTATCCCTCCACCATGAATAGATTCTTACATGTTTTGTAACCAGAATATTCTCAAAACTATTGTAAAACCATGTCTCCAGCATCAGGCAGCGTGTTCATAACCATTTCAAGTAAGAATTCTCTGTGAGGGAGCTTTTTGAGGTGGACGTCTGGTTCCTATCACCACCACTGTGAACAATTCTAACATTTTTTTTCTAGAACAGTGCATTTCACACCAAACCATTCTGAATGACTGTTCACATCCATTTAATTATGCAGAAACTTTGAAAAATCCCATTTAAAGACAGAAGGCAGTTAAAGAGAGAGAGAGCTGAGAGCTGAGTGAGGCTGGGTTCTGTGATTAGCTGACAAAATAAAAGTCTCTGATGATGTAGCCTCATCTGTAGGGTGAGACTGAAGAGTAAATGTATTTTTGCTAATGTGCTTTTAAGTAAGTTTCGCTCCAGATGTGGCAACTTTAATGTTTTTTTTCCCAAAGCTAACTTTGTTTTTTCAGTCAGTACAAAGCGCTGCGGGATCAGCAGAGCCTACATAATGCTAGTGTTAAAGATAGTAGAGATGGCTCCACGTAATAACTCACCAAAAGCAATCCATTACAACTTACTAAGTACTTCTCTCAAAATGTAATGCAATTATTTATTTACTTCCTAGAAAAAAGAATCTCACTACTCATTACTTTACTCTCAAGTTAATCTGTACCATATCAGCTCACTACATTATCAGATCATTTTCCAAGCCTTATTATTTCCTAAAACAATGAAGAAACACTAGCAAAAAATGTCTAGTTAACCCCTTAAATAGTCAAGGCCCACCAGCAGGCCCGAAGTTTTATTACACACTTCTATAACGTAAGAATAGCTCAGCCAGTTTGCATTGAAGTCCCTTTAGTTACTAAATAGTAAGCCTTGGTATGTAATAAGCCTGGGATTTTAATGGGTTAAATGAGTAATATTAGCTACATAAATAATGTCCAGGGACCCCATTTCTGTCTTTTGTTTAGGGCCCCGGAATCAATAAATCCTACACATACTCTATATACACTATACTGAGCTGTAGCCTCCACTGTCACATACAACACATACTCAAGACAGACACCCAAAATACTAACACTTCTGTTTCTGCAGGATATGTATAGAAATATAGAAATGACTATTTAAGCTGCTTACGGCCGCTGACCCACTTACAAACAAAGGCTTCAAACACACCATTACATATCACATGTATGCACTCTACAAGCTCATTCTCCATTAGTCTTCTTTAATCTCAGTGTGACTTCCTAAGGTGAGCTATAAGCACCAAAAGTCAAGACATATCAGATAATAAATTCTTTACTATGAAAAGGATAATATTCTGAAAATGATATTATCCTTTTTAACTCCTTGGGACCACCGGTGGTTCCAAAACACACTTCGTCATATTCTTCATAACTTTCATATTTCATAAGCTACATTCAAAAGGTGGGTGTCATATGAGAGTTGTAACTCAGTCAAATAGATGGGTAATGTAATGTAAAACCTTATAATAAAAGAAGCTGAACCTTTTTCTACTAAAAGTTGCCCCATTTTTCCATAAATCTGGGCTATAATCTATAAACAGATGGTGTCTCTTCAGTGATATACTCTATAAAAATTATTTTTATTAAATAATACAAAGAGCGTCTAAGATTTTTGCCTTTCAGCAGTAAATTGTAAGCATATAGCAGTATGTGTGATCATAAAACATATGTTCTGTTAATTTGAGGGGAGCTTTTACAAAATAAATAAATAAATAAAACAAAAATGCACATTCATTTCATGCAGTTACTGAATAATTTGCCTTACGATTTGGTCATGTAAATTCAGATGGACAAACCGAAATATACCCTGGTGAATAAGAGGTTATTGTTCGCATTGATACACATATTGTTTGTGTAAGCAGTTATTGTGTGTGGGCAGGGCCGTGTCTGGCTATAAGCAGTCTGAGCAGGTGCTTTGGGGGTGTGTTTTTTGTTTGTTTGTTTTTGTTTTTGTTTTAAATTTATATATCATTTGTGTCCTTTGTTGTGGCAGAAAAAAACAGACATCATGATTTCCTTCCAGACTATCAAGAATGATGCACATCCCACTTAAACATTTATTTATTTATCCCCCTTTTATACTCTTACATACGTTTATGACATTTTTCCTGATCAGTCTTTTTTTCATTCTTGCATACAAAATAGTATGACTGGAGTGAGTTGGTGGACCCCAAATACACCCTTAAAAATGGTTCTTCAAGGGTTCCTTAGTAAAGGCAATTGATATATAGAACCACCTATATGTAGAACACTCAAGGGGCCATTTGAATGCATAGATGGTCCTTTATATGGTTTTGCTAGGACACCTGGTGTACAGTAAGAGGAAAGAGGCATTTAGGCACTTTTGTTTTTGTTATTTAATATACTTGGAGTGCATATATCCACTTCAAACCTGCACACATGTAATGTCCTTTGACTTTGTGTTTATACATATGAAAGAAAAGGTAAATATTCATAAGCATAAACAAAGAAATGTTTCTAAAATAACTAAATTGATAGGGGGGGAAGTGTTCAGACGCTGTATTAAAAACATATACAAGTTAAAATTTATCAAGTTCTAGATATTAATTCCAGGAAAACAATGTTCTTGTGCAAATTGTGCCTGGTGTTATTATAAAAGACAGTGCCATTGGTCGAGAAGAATTGAAGTAGCAATCATGGTGAAGGTAAAGCCTCCTGAAGTTCTCAGGAACAGTGGGCCTCATTCGGTAATATCTTGAGAAAGGTCCTAAAAAAGTCTACATCAGGTTCGTGATGTGTTCTTAAACCCAAAAAAATAAGAAAACATTGGTGAATGTCAGAATCTTTGTGAAAACTGCGTAACCAGGATTAAAGAAGAAAGTCTTCTTAAGAACGGCTGGTGAATGAGGCCCATTTTTATTAAACAACATTGGAATTGAAAAAGCTACAGAGCAGTTAGCAAAGACCTTAAACATCCCTGTCAGTATAACTGGTTCAATAATAGGCAAGAATTCACAACGCACTGTCAGACAAATGATACCGAAAGTAAGAGAGAAGCCAGCAATCACTCAAAAGAGTTTCAGGATGGCCTGAAAGCGGCAGGAACAACAGATCAGAGCTGTTTCGGAACATCATACTCTAGTCGGATGAAATGAAAATAGAACTCTTAGACAATAATTCAGCTCAGGGTTGCATGTATGATCCCAAGAACACCAAACCCACAGTGAAGTATGAAGGTGGGAAATTATGAGTCCATCCGAGGGACCCTTGCAACCTTAGGGAATTGAAAATAATCTGCCAAGAAGAATTGGACCAAAACTGAACCACAATGCTACAAAAAGCTAATAACATCTTACCGCTGTTATTAACAACTCCTTACTAATGTTATTTATTTGTGGTGTCTAAATACTTATTTACCCATTCAATTTTGTTTCTTACACATATGTTTGTTTATGCTAACGAATACATACTTTTTCATATTCATAAGTACAAAATGAAAACACATTATGTGTGTAAATTTGAAATGGGTATATAAGCGTATGCAAAAGTTTTGGCGCTCCTCGTCAAATTACACATTTTGTCGATCTTCTAAGGGAAAATAAGTGAACACATCCTCTACAGAGAACACACATCTGCGTATTTTAAAGCACAATGACTGTTTATTTGCTGAGTTTGAGATTTTAGGAAAAAATATACATAAATTGTGGCCTGTGCAAAAGGCACCTTTTTATTTATTTATTTATTTTTTCCAATATGTGAAATAAGTAGAAATTGTGCAGTAAAATGTCATATTAAAATGTGTTCCCTGCAAAGGATGGATTAACTTACTTTCACTTAGAAAATTTGACTAAGTACTCAAATTTTGCATCCTTGACGCATATTATGTGTAAAATGTAAAATATTGTAACCATAAATGTATTTTTTTATTTCTATGCAGAACCCTTTTCACTAAGAGTGTATGATAGCTCCCAAATGTTGAGAAACGCTTGTGTGTGTGTGTGTGTGTGTGTGTGTGTGTGTGTGTGTGCGCGTATGTATATGTGTGTGTGTGTGTAAGCTGGTGCACTTTGGGAGTGGCCTCTTATATTCAGACTGTGATGTCAGCGGTGGGCTAATTTCACATATAAAAAGAGAAATTCATCAGGCTTTTTGGGTGGATTTAGATACTGAACATACTGGAGAGTCAAGAAGCAAAATGAAGCTGTTTTCAAGAATTTTTATACTGGTCTTTTTTTCAGCAGCCTTGGCAAGTAAGTATTCATATTTACATTCACACTCACATATTATATACACAGTTTTTCCATATTCATTGTGCTTAATCTCATCATAGTAGATATTTTACTTTGTATTGCGCTGGAAGTCAAGTAGGTTGCAATGCAGGATGCTTGCTGAATGGGCCTTATTTCTTATTCCTTTTATTAAATCTTATAGCATCTGCTTGGTAAAATCCACACTGCATGTCACAGGCTTGTCATTTTAAAATGATATGGTATTTTTCTCATTAGTGCGTGTGATGTAGAGGCTGTGAGTCAGTACTGGCAAAAGCAACTGAAAATTAATGAGGTCTATTATAATGAGACAGAACATCTAAAATGGGGTTTGTTCATCATTATCAGTAAACCAATTTGCATGTAAGCGTATAAAATGAATGTAATATGATCTTTCCGTACAACTTCACAAATTTCAAATAATTAATAGAGCACTAGCTATAAATGAAGAAATGTTATATGTGTTCAGAGCAATGAACGACCCGTACAAGGTTCTTAAATGACAAAGAAAGATGAGAATTGAGAATTAAAAGGGCCCAGGTCATGGAAAATCACTGTAAAAAGGCACAGTAAAAACAGCTTTTTTGATTGTAAGGGATACAGAGAGGACGGAAAATGGTCAATTGTGACTTTTTTTTTTAACCCAAACTAAACAAATGTTATAAATGGACCTTAGGAGAAATAATACAAAAAAGACAATAAAAATGTAAGATATGAGCCCTTTAAGTTACAATAAAATTTACCATCATATTTTAAAAGTGCTGATCCAGTCTAAAAGCAGATAACTTCACAAAAATCAATGTAAGTATACAATTTCAGTGTATTATTTGCCATTTTGGATTTTTTTTTTTGTTCACAGAATCTTTGAAATACTGCAAGAAGTGTCTGAAAACATTTTGGTGAATAGTTTATTACATTACATGTATGTGTATATATATATATATATACATTAATATGGCAAATTATTCATTTACATTTATGGCATTTGGCAGACGCTCTTATCCATAGCGACTTACAATTTGATCATTTTACACAGGTAGGCAAAGGTAGTGTTAGGAGTCTTGCCCAAGGACTCTTATTGGTATAGTGTAGGGTGCTTACCCAGGTGGGGGATTGACCCCAGTCTACAGCGTAGAAGGCAGAGGTGTTACCCACTACACTATACCAACCACATTGATTTCAAACTTCTGAATGGTAGGGTATATTATATTATATTTTAACAGGGTGTTTAGCAGCTTGTGTCATTTGAGTGGAAGGAAATAGTGCAAATCAGTAAGAGCTCATAGTTCTTTGTACTGGAGTGCAGCCTTACAAACGTCTTCAGTGTGGCTGTGCAGACAGGCTGTACATGAGCTGCTACTATAGTGACACCTCATGGCCAAGTCTAAGAATCAAAGCAGTCCTCCTGGGCCTCCAATCACAAGCGTTTTGCTGTGATTGTATGAACTTCATTTAATTATGCCACACATTTCTGTATGTACCATTTAATAATAAGCCAGCATATTGTCACTGTGGGAACAGAATCTCTTAACTTTTACAAGAGAATGAAGTCATTTTGGAACACATCTATTGGTCCATTTGTCATGAAATTTTGACACAGTGGCAGCTGGTGTTTTCAAATTAGGTAAAACAACGAAGAATGAAATAAAGAGACGAGGTTTTGCTCTGAAAAGCAACAATATATAAACCTCAACATAAAATGCAACCTATTTTATGTCAACATATTTACAGTTTACAAGTCAAACAGCTCCCTACTTTTTTTAACTAGCTTTTTCCAACCTCTCTTTTCCCTTAGAATTAAACAGCCAATGTCTTTTGCTGTGCGTTTAAGAGGCATATGTAAATGATTTCTGTTTTGGCTGCCTTGTTTTGTGTCTCATTCAAGAAACAATCTGAGCTGAAACACTAATGCCAATGAGAATGGGTGTTGCCAAATTGCTGTAGGCTGATTAGGCAGATATATGTAAATGTGCTAGTTTTCATGACATCACAAAAACAATAAAGTGAATTTTTCTGGCAGCATATTTTCCATGTATAGACATATAATGTCTATAAGTGATGTTTATGTGGTTTTGTGTACCAAAAACAGTCATGACCATTTTCTAACCTCTCTTAATCTCTTAGAATGCAACAGTCTGTTTTTGTTACTGTGCCTTTAAGACTGATATATGTAAATGAGATCTGTTCTGACTGGCTACCCTGTATTGTGTCTCATTTAGAAAGCAGCCTAGGCTGAAACACTTCTTATAACTTCAGTGTGAATAGGCAGAGCTGAGCTGCAGTAGGCTGAACAGGGGGATAAGCGTAAATGAGTTGGTTCTTGTGACATCACAAAAACAATGAATTCAAAACAGGCTGTTTTTGGAGTGTAGTTTCCATATATGTATGGTATGGGCCGGGGAGTGAAAGGTACAATTTGAAACTTTGAAAATGTCACATTAAACTCTTTTATTGTTAAAACTGTTTAATGTCACTGGCCCTTTAGCCACTTAAAAGGCAAAAAAGCAAAGTCTTATTATACACTTCTATAACCTGAGAATAGTTCAACCAGCTTGCATTGAAGTCCCCAGTTTCTGAATAATAAGCCTTTGTATGTAATAAGCCTGGGATTTTACGGGGTGAACACTGTTTTCATCAAACTCTTTTACTTAAAAGTAATGAAAATGAGTTCTTTGATGATGTGGGTCCTTTTTATAATAGGACAAATCTGACCCTAAATGCTTTGCTAACACAAGAACTGACGTCCTCTATGCTCCCCTGAACAACGGCCCACTCAAGCAAGAGCTAAAGTGAATTTAGGATTAATTGATCTGAAGCCGTTTCGGATTAAATCACGGGCTGCTCACTAAACTGTCGGAATTAATTGGTGAAAATCCCACATTAAGATTTTGCATTAAACCAATTAGGTGTTCTCAGTGGTACAGCGTTTGAGTCTTGCAGCTTTAAAGCCACAATAGGCTGAAAAATCTTGCAGTTGAACAAACGTCAGTGCCTTGTGAAAGTCTTACAACTTGTGCGGTTCTGCTGGACGTCTGCCAGTGTTCTATAATACTGCAATTGTAGTCAGGATTTGGAAGACTTTTCATCTCCGTTGCTGTGCACTCCTACAGTACAGGCCAACGTGTGGTCACATGCGACCAATCACATGCATAGGATTGAAGATGTTTGGAGCTTTGGGCCATTCAGGATGGAGGTTTTAGGGACTACCTCAGATTAGCCCAGAGCAGAGAGTGTGCCAGGTACCCCGCCAGGCACACTTTCCTGCCCCTGAGAGCCTATTCAGTAAATGGGGCTAAGAAGGTCACAATTGAGGAAGTGTGTCAGATTCTGTGCCTTTTAGAGATCCTGAGCATGTTCACGTTTTTGATAGATTACCTGACTCAAAAGAAATATAAAATTCAAACGTTCACAATCTATGATAGAGACCACCCTTCATTTCTTTAATTTCCAGTCAGAACAGTCAGTTATTCATGTTTCAGGAAAGTTTCCACAATTGGAGTTCAAAAGTGGGACTCCCGACAACCCTGCAAGGCCTGGAAGACCACCAAAACTGTCCCCACCAAATAAACAGTACTTAAAGCTTTCATCTTTGAGAGAGAGGAGAAAATCAAGCTCCACTCTTGCTTCAGATCTGAAAAAGTCCACAGGTGTTTCTGTCCATCCTTCCACTGTGAGCAGACAACTCAACACTATGAGTCTGAAAAAATGTGCAGCTATCTTGAATTTGTTACTGATAAAACCAATTGGTCTGACCACTTCAAAGTCCAGACCTCAACATCACTGAATGTGTTTGGGATTACTTGGATGGTGAGAAGCAAAAAGAGCAACCAACTTCTAAGACTGAACTTTGGATGTGTAAGAAAAATGCCTGCAGATTTCTTGGAAAAACCGAAAGCAACTCTTCTGAAAAGAATGGAGGCTATAATGAAGACAAAGAATGGACGCACTAAATACTGACTGGCTGTTTTGACTGGAAATTTAATAAATGAAGGGTGGTCTCTGACTTTTGCACAGTACTGTACGTATTCTCTAATATGAATGTATTTTTTTGCTTTGCAACTTTTAACCTTTTTTTTGGCTACTGCATCTTCTCATTTAAGTACAAGTCCAGAAAAGTGAGTCCAAACCCAGATTCATACGGTACCAGTCATGGAACACAAAGATGTATCCAGTTTGGAAAGAAGGAGACCCACGATACAGAAACAGCTGGACAGGTACCGTGATCAGCAAAGTCAGTTTTTCAGATTCATCTATACATTTTATAGCATCTGTATCCGATTAGATTAGATTAGTCTTATTACCCGACAGCAGTTTGTCTTTTGCCATTTGTCTTATGCTAATACAGTACAACCAACATAAAACACATAAACACATACAAAGCTCCTTCTAAATGGTGGGCCTATTGTCAGAAGTTCAGTCCCTGGAGGTGACACAGCCATCCGTGACCCTGTTGTCTCTGGGTGGGCAGGATGGTCCTCTATCTCCCCATCACTCAGCACGATGCTAGCCAACGTAGGTGTCTGTTAGCTGACATAACGGAGGTGGCAGTTAGCCTCGGCAGTTAGTCCAAGTGTATTGAACGGTCCAATGATGTTGCATCAGCAGCAGTTTGAAAAGATGTAAAGAAGCACGCACTTTCACCCTTGCTAGCTTGCTAGCATTGTGTGGTGGGGAGTCTTAGCTAGTGGGTGGAACTGAATATGCCTAAATTGGAGCAAAAATTTGGGTATAAAAACAAGCAGAACAGTCATTCATGGACTTCAGCAACCAAGTAAAATCTGATTTGATTCTAATGTTACTGTTTTCTATTAACCTTACATTGAGCTCAAATATCATTTTGGAAGGTATCTCAAGATGAACACTGTGCCTTTGCTCCACTAGTGTAATTTGCTTGTAAAGTGACTTATATTTGTGGCCGCAGGTGGAGATGTGAAGTTTGATGTCCGTAATGATGCGCCGACTCTGACTGGTGCTAGAGTCACATTCAATATCGACATTCTCTTCCCATCCAGCCAGACGGTGCAGCCTGATGGAGAGGTCGTTTGGGCCAAAAACTGCATTGTCAATGGTAGGTCTAGCAATGCAATACCATAGGAATAGTGTTACATGGTTCTAATTCTACCATCCAACAACCTCTGAACTCATGATTTAGCACTCAACTCATCTGAGCTGTCTGCAGTCGTATACAAAAGTTTTAACATTCCCAGTCAAATCACGTTTCATTAAGTGAAAATAAGTCAACACACCCTCAACACACTTTAAATATGGCATTTGTTTGCTAATTTTATTGAAGTTCTATTTATTTGCTGAGTTCAACATATTGAAAAAAAATAAAACATAAGTTAGAAAATGCACAATAACTTTTCCACAGGCCACATTTTATCTTTTATTTTTTCCATTGTGTTAGATTCTGCAAATAAACAGTAACTGTGTGTTAATCATGCAGAAGTGTGTTCTCTGTAGAACATGCGTTAACTTACTTTCAATTAGAAAATCAGCAAAATGTCATTTGACTGGGGATCCCAAACATTTGCACCCTTTGTTCCTTACAAGGCAGCTTTACACAATATAAAAGAGTACAATGAAACATCAATAGACATAAGAATATGAGCACAATTAGGGCTGTTTCCTAACATTTAGCGGCCCTAAGCTACCTCTTGCTTGGAGGGCCCAGCCCACCCAATCATATGATTTTATAGGCAAAAACAAAATGCAAAAAAGTTTAATGCATACTATAAGCAGTGGGTAGCGCTGTTGCATCACAGCAAGGGTTTGATTCCCCGGCCGGGCGACCAGTGTGGAGTTTGCATGTTCTCCCTGTATCTGCTTAGGTTTCCTCCCACAGTCAGGCCAACTGGAGATACTAAATTGCCCCTAGGTGTGTGACTGTATGTCTGTGTGTCTGCCCTGTGATGGACTGGTGACCTGTCCAGGGTGTTTTCTGTTTTTTGCCCACTGAGCGCTGAGAAAGGCTCCAGCACCCCAGGCAACATGAGAAGATGAGAAGCTTAGAAGATGAATGAGTGAGTGTCTGCTTGTGGGCCCCCCTAGTGGCTTGGGGACCCTAAGCAACTATGTGGCTTGCAGCAAGAAACGACCCTGACCGCAAGAAAAGGAAGAAAAATAAAAAACAGAGCATGCACAATAAAATCAGTCAGTCTCATTCAAACTTACCTTTTTAGGCACTCAGCGCCACAAGGGTAAGCCGGTGTACCCTCAGGAGAATTCCGTGGATGACAGGAATGCTGTTTTCCCTGATGGTTCTCCGCTCGGCAAGCACGGAGACAAGAAACCACCCTATGTGTTTGTATGGAAGACGTGTGGTGAGTTCAGTGGTTCTTCACATGTCTTAGCAGATAATCACAGTTTCAGTTTCCCCTTTTACCCCCACATGTAGTCAATCAACTTAACAACTCCACACAGTTTGAGACAAGTACTGAGATCTTAGATATGTACAAGGATTGTGTTATAATCTAGTTAAACCCAGTGCATTAATTGAGATAGTAATAAGGTAAATATATCGCTGCTGTCGGAACAAAACCTTGTATCTCCAAAATGATAACTTTACAGGAGAAGCAAAAAACGTACTTTACTTTTAATTTCCGTCAATGGAACCAGAATTTTTTCCAAGCCATTTTGGGTCATATCTTTTGGTCTGTTCATCATGAAATTTACACACAGTGTAAAGGGCAACAGGCATTTTCAAATTATGTCAATTTCTATTGATTGGGAGGTGTCTGTCCAAAACTCTAACCACTAAATTGTAATTGTAAATTGTATTTTTTTTTTTTCGTTTAAAGTAAAGCTAAAAGATTTAGATTTATCATGAGGAATCATGAATTTTAAAATAAAAAAATGCTGTCCAACATTTTTATGTCACTACCGAAACACAAAAGCTGCGTTCAAAGCCACATAGTACTATACTATAGTATACACTTCTAACGGTGGAGTACTAGTTTTTGACATAGTATGTGATTTTGGACGCAGCCAAAGAGTTTTACTCCATAGGCAGAGTCTTATTTTAGCCCCTACATTTTAAAACAGGAAGTGAGACTGCATCCCTGTCCCTCATCGCCAGAAGGTGAGCAGTTAGATCCCATTGTTCTGAAGTAAATGTGTCCCAAACTGTGAAAAAAGTGTGTAATTTCAAGAATCGTCACTACTGAAACACATAATTCACACAATTAAGTAAACTTTTTTCAAAATGTAGTTACTTTGTAACTGAAGTTTGGGGGGAGGAACATGCCTGAAACCCTTCCTTCTTCCAATCTAACACCCTATAAATCCACATCCTCACCTTCCATTCCCATGGCGAAGTGTTCGCAATCCCCACCACCGCCCCATCTCCTCCCTGTTCCTCAGTCCTGTGTCAGTTCTACCACAGCTATGAGGGGGGTCTGGCCTTCTAGCTACAGGCAGAAGCTGCCTAGAACTCCAGCCCAAGTTCTCAGAGTTCTCCCCCCTCAATCAGTCTTCCCTCATATCACCACCGCATGTTGAAGGCATGGTCCGAACAAAATAATCGCTGGTGAATTAGATTTTTCTGCTATTGGTTCAAGATTGCATATCTCCAAAAGTATGACCTTGTAACCTAACTACTCCTGATTTTGCTCTGTAGGAAAATACTGGCAGGTATCTGACGGACCGTCCTCCTCTCTCACCATCGGCACAGACAACATTCCTCTCGGTTCCTATGTAATGGATGTGGTTATCTATCACTACAGAAAGAGGGAAAAATTCATCCCCATCGGATACGCCTCCACTCAGTTCTGCATCACTGGTGAGCACAAAGCTATGACAAACTATGACCTCCAGACAGGAGTGAGGTCCACTTTTTACGTCTGAGCCTCCACACTTCTCGTTGTCTACTTTTGATTTTTCTCTAAACTGTTCCTTTAAATAATCCAGATATGCGTTTATTCCTCTGCTTCTACAGATCAGATCCCCTTTGCCGTCACTCTTTCACAAGTGAACGATAAAGATGAAGGTGATCAGAAGTTTATCCGGAACCGAGCCGTTGCTTTCAGCGTAGCCCTCCATGACCCCAGTGAGTACTTGGGGGATTCGGACATCACCTTTAACTGGGACTTTGGGGACGGCAGTGGCACGGTCATCTCCAGAGAGCTGACGGTCACTCACACGTACACTGCCACCGGCTCCTTCAAACCCCACGTCGTCGTACAGGCAGCCATTCCAGATCCGTCCTGTGCCACTCCTCCAAACACACCTACTGACGCCAGCCCCACTGAAAAGAGCTTTCTCTCAGAGGAGCGCTCCCAGCCTGCTCAGCTTAGCTCAACAGGTAAGTAGAAGTGACATGTAATAATATAAAATAGTATATAATAATAATAATATAAATAGTAAATAGTATATAATAATAATAATAATAATAATAATATAAATAGTGATATAAATAGTAATTATAAAATAACCAACAGCACAACATAAAATACAGGAGCAAAACTGAACATGTATTTAGTGATTACACTGTGTTTGGCATGTGCAGAGGTACTGAATACAGTGTGATCAGGTTTTAATGTATGTGTAGTAACATTATTGCTGAGTGAATGTTTAAGTCTGTTTTCTGAAGTTTGCACAGTTTATCCTCCACTTTTCTACAGAGCCCTGCTGGTGACATCCTGCATGAAATAAAAATAATGCATGGCCACAACTCAGTAAGGCGTGGAAACAAGAAAATTAAGTTGTGGCCACGACTGAGTAAGGTGTGGGAAAGAGATCCTAATGTGTGCCCATGACTTTGTAAGGCATGGGAACGAGATAATTAAGATGTGGCCATGACTTAGTAAGGCGTGGGATTGAGGTCCTAATACATGGTAATAACTGAGTAAGGCATGGGAACAAGATAATTAAGTCATGGCCACAACTTAGTAAGGCATGAGAATGAGATAATTAAGATGTGGCCACGACATAGTAAGGTGTGGGAATGAGATCCTAATAAGTGGCCACGACTTAGTAAGGCGTGGGAACGAGATAATCAAGTGAAAGCCACGACTTAGTAAGGTATGGGAATGAGATCCTCACGTGTGGCCACGACTTAGTAAGGTGTGGGAACGAGATAATTAAGTCATGGCCACGACTTAGTAAAGTGTGGGAATGAGATCCTAATGCATGGCCATGACTTTGTAAGGTGTGGGAACAAGATAATTAAGAGATGGCCATGACTTAGTAAGGCATGGGAACGAGATAACTCATGGCCACAACTTAGTAAGGCATGGATATGAGATCCTAATGCATGGCCATGACTTAGTAAGGCGTGGAAACAAGATAATTAAGTTGGGGCCACGACTTAGCAAGGCGTGGGATTGAAGTCCTAATGCATGGTTATGACTAAGTAAGGCATTGGAACAAGATAACTAAGTCGTGGCCTCGGCTTGGTAATGGGCGGGAATAAGATAATTAAGCTGTGGCTATGCATTAGGATCTTGTTCCTATGTGTTAATATATTATGGACACGTTATTTTCATTAATACCGGATGTCACCAGCAGGGCTAAAAGTATTAAACAAAGTGTTACACATCTTTTGAAATATTCACACATGAAATCCTACAACTGCTCGAAGGAGCTTTTCGGGATTTAGGAAAAATAAATGTTCAATCTATTTAAGTGAGTCACTGTTAGAATGTCAACATGCAGACACATCACATGGAGAAGAATGAGCCCAAATGAGTTATAGCCTTAAAAGAAGACCTAGATGAGCAGCCATGAAGATGCTGAGAGGGGTCTCCCAGAGTTTAAATGTAATACCACTTTCATGTTTCTAACAGACAGTCCAGGTAAGGAGGCTGCAGATGTCATGGGGCAGTCCAGTTCTGGCATTAAAACAACTCCTCCTGCACCCACAAATGGCGCCGTCGACCCAGCAGGGTCAGCTGAGCAGAGTTCTACCATCTCATCTCAGACTGAAGAAGCTGCTTTTCCTGATGCATCAGATACAGCCAGCTCTGCCTCTGCAGTGGATGATGCTACAGAAGTGTCTGGTTAGTGACTCTTAGTCATGACTTCACATCCTGTGTTGCCTACACGGACAGCAGAATGTAGGTCGAACCATTTTTCAAGTATGAGTACACGTTTTTTAGTACAATACCAATATCAATTATGATACCAAACTGAGTAACCTACATAGAATTAAGTAGTAATTAGTGTAAATGAGTGCAATGTACCTTAACAGATAGGTCTTTCAAATTTAGTTGATTTTAAATGAAATGCATTAGCGAGCTATGCTACATTAGTTACCTTGGATGGACACATTAATTTGCCACAGTAATTTTTCAGCATTAAAGACGTATTCAGCTTCAAATACACATAAATATTCAATTTACTGCTTAAACACTGAAAAATCTAGATTTTTATGTAAGGATCAGTCCTCAAAAAAGAAACGTCAGGATTGTAAATATCAATATTTCAGTATTGATCTGCCGCCCCCCTCAGTAGGCCTAAGTTAAATGACCCATGCAGCAGAAGGAGTAGGATAATAATTAATCCCAATAAGTGCATGATGTGTATGATTCTATGCTGTGATGGGCTAGTGAAGGTGATTTAGGTCCTTGTGCATTTGCTGCTGTGTGTGAGACGTGAGAAGACAGTGAGTGAGAATTGCCTTGTTGAATTCCACAGGGTCAGTGATAGATCCAGATGCTGTGGTGGACAGAGAGACTTTAGGGGTCCAAGCTGCTGTTGTGATCGAGAAACGCGAGGCATCAGATGTGGAACTGGATTGTGTTATTTACCGCTATGGCTCCTTCTCCACTGGAATTGAAGTAATTGGTGGGTTTGATGGAATCAGTGAATTGGATTTGCACGGTTCAAATTAGCACTTGTCATATAATTTGTGTCGTTTATATACAATAATAACTTGTACAGTGTATATGTAATTCACTGCAACTGTATTACATATACAAGTTTCTATTGTTTGACATTGTTTATTTTACTTAACAAATAAATGTCATTGAGATTTTGATGTGTTTTTCTCAGAGGGTATTGAGAGTGTGGAGATCGTACAGGCCACCAGCACGTTTCTGATGGCTGAATTGGAGCAGAATGCTGTGGACTTCACTGTGACCTGCCAGGGAAGGTACATAGTGGTGAAGCTCTTTCTTCTACTTCAGGGTTTCCCAAACAGGAGTTTGCAAACCTATAGCGGTTAACAGAAGAATGTTACTGTCAAATTAAATTTAAATGTAAAAAAATTGGTAAGGTAAATAATCAAATGGTTCTTCAGATTGATAGAGAATGTGTTGTGTGGTTCTATATGGTTCCATATATTGACAATAGAAGAACCCTTTTTGTAACATTGTACTGTGACCTCATAAGTATATAAAATGACAGAAGATATATAGTAATATATATAATAAGAATATTTCCATTCAATAATGATCCATTTAAAACTTACAGAGCAGATCATGTTGTGATAAATGTGACAGTTCAATGTAGATTAAAGCTAATGGCTATAACCAGTCAAAGTATCAAGAAAGCTTTCTTGAAAAGACATCTGGGAACTAAACTTGCAAACATGCTCTGTGATAATGCTAACCTTGGTCCTGAAGAACCTCTTTCTTTCATATTTTTGGTGATTCATACAATCGTATACAGAAGTTTAAACACCCCTGGTCACATTTGAAAACATTTTGTGGTGCTCCCAAGTCGTGAGTTCGATCCCCGGTGATGCTACAGCCATCCATGTCCCTCCATCACTCAGCACGATGCTAGCTAGCACAGGCATTTGTTAGCTGGTGTTTAGCGTTCTCCCCCAAGCACGTCCAGCTGTCCAATGACTGTCCAGTGACTGTCCAGTGACTCTGGCTGAAGCAAGCTTGTGCTAGCCTTCGCCCTCCTAGCGCTGGTGGTAAATTGGAGATAAAATTGGAAAAAATCTAAAATATTATGTTGATTTTCTATGAGAAAAGAGGTACACACATCCTCTACAGAGAACACATTTAAAACTGTCATTTATCTGTCAATTTTAGTGTACAATTTCTGTTTATTTGCAACTGGAAAAAATAAAACATAAAAAAATATAAAATGATCCATAGCTTTTGCACATGCCACATTTTATTATTCAGAAAATGAACCATAATTGTGTGTTCAGATGTGCAGAAGTGTGTTCTCTGTAGATGCGCTAACTTATTTTCACTTAGAAAATCAGCAAAACGTGTCATTTGACCATGGGTGCTCAAACTTTGGCATACAACTGTATGTTGAAGCAGGCAAAACCCCTAAAATGTGCCGGGCAGTGGAATTCCAGATCCAGTGTTGGGAACCACTTCCACTTCAAAACACAACACAGATGGCTGAGCTTGTTCTTCAGTGACATTGTTTTTGTCTCCTGTCAGTTTGCCTACAGAGGTGTGCACTGTGGTGTCCGACGCAGACTGTCTCTCACCAGTCAAAACTGTCTGCAACACTGTGAGCCCTTCCCCAGAGTGCCAGATGGTTCTCCGCCACTTCTTCAACGACTCTGGAGTGTTCTGCATCAACGTGTCCATGACTAATGATGTTAGCCTGGCTGTCACTAGTGCCAGAGTAAATGTGATGATAGGTGAGATACAGTATCTGGAGCTTCAGTGTGGAAGCAGAACGTCTAGTGATGTTTATCAATTTGATGAATATCCTGCTGAAAAAAAAAAAAACAGCACAGAGCAGTGTGCATTCCATTATGGTTTATGCTGGTCTGGTGCTGGTTTAGTTGGTCATCATGGTCATGCAGCTTCCATCGCTACTGACCAGCCTACCAGCATTCAAAACACAACATATATTGGTTTTGCTGTTGAACAGACATGCAGGTCTATGCTGTTTTTAGCAGGGTAACTATGATATATCTAGTCTTTAAACGAATAGCTTGACCACATGTTCCCTTAGCTCTTTATATGATACACCATACCTCAATATGATACATCAAGGAAACCTATGAAAGGGTTGCCAAGGTTACATTTAGGCTCATGGGTCCCTTGAGGTCATACAAGGTATGATGAACAGCTGATTTTTCAAAAGGAATTAATTGAAAAATGCTCCTTGCTCTAGGCTAGGCTAGCCTTAGTTAGCCAGTTAGATAGCTAAACATCCTTAAGAAGTTAGAGGGTAGCATACTATAACTTTCTCGTTGCTAGTTTTGTAGCCCTTAGCTTACTAACTAGCACCCAAGCAGAGTTAAGGAGTAGTTTACTATATAAAGTCCAGTTCAAATGAATCAAATCGAAATGCAAATATTTTGAAACATTAAGCAAAATGATTGTTTACAAAATGACCAAATGATTGTTTAATCTTAGAAGCCTGGGAAAATAAGGCCCTGGGAACATTGGGATGACCCCAGTTTTACACTAGATTTAATGAAGCTACTGTAGATAACAAGCAATGGAAGGTTTTTTCTCACCAATTAGCATCACACTTGCCTCAAAACACACCTATTTAAGATGAGTTTTTAATTAATTTCAAATAGACTAATTTGGCATAATGTTATCTACATAATGGACAAAAGTACAAGCGAAATTTAGGCTTCAATATGGCTGCTCCCTGTTGAAAAAAGACAGCACAGACCAGCAAGCATTTCATGCTCATCTAAGCTGGTCTGTGCTGGTTTAGGCAGGTCTAGTCCTGCTCTGGTTCTGGTTTAGCTAGTCACCCCAGCATGGTCATGCTGGTTGACCAATATACCAGCATCCAAACCACAACATACGTTGGTTTTGTTGGTGAGCAGCCATGCTGGACTATGCTGGTTTTTCTACTGTTTTAGCTATGAGTTGTACTTTTGTTCACTTCTAAAGATAACAGTATGTCATACAGTGGCAGAATTTGAAATTACTCACCACATTTTGAGACAAAGCTGCGGTGATTTAGGTGTGCAGTTTGCACACTGCTAATTAGCGGGGTTATCTTTCCATTTCTTGTTAGCTACATTAGATTTGTAGCTCCAGTATAAAACTAAAGGAGCAAAGACACCAACATGTCTGGCTGATTTTTCATGTTGTAAAAGGGGGGGTGGGGGTGGTGAGGACAAAGATGGATTTACTGAAATAAAGTGAAGCAGTGCTTTGCTAACATCTTACATTTCTCCTTCTGTTGGCAGGTTCTAGGTTTACCAGCATGGGCACTATTGCCATGGTGTTGGGCATCCTGGCTGTCGCATCAGCAGTAGGGACTGTGGCGTTTGCCTACAAGTACGTCTGGAATTTCCACTAATCGTTATTTGTCCTTGCATTGGTTAGTCCCAAGTTTGATCTCTATCTTTGGTCAGTGCACAGAGACTTGGTATGCCATGCACTTGATAGTTCCAAGACAGTTTTTAAGCCTTTCACTGCATGATTGCAGGTAAATGTATATGCTCCATTATTAATTTTTTTTCCCATCTTCTCTCTCAGGCGTCTGAAAGGCTACCAGCCCCTTTCTGAAGTTCTTGTTGCAGGCCAGTCTGGAAGTGCAGGATGGAGCTCAGTGCCTTCGTTCCTCTGGAGCCTGGTGAACCAGCAGGTGCCTGGACAGAAGCGTTCAGTCCTTCTACGCAGGGTGGTGTAAACAAGATTCAACAGCATATTCAATAAAACGGTCATTTAAATTTTGTAGGAAAGTGCAGCCAAGAGAAAATCTTCGGTAGATGTGTTTTTTTTTTACTTGCTTTTTATACCAACATTTGACCCAAAGTGTTTTCTACATTCCAGCTGGGTATTTTCAGAACTATTCACATTCTTTTTTATGCATTTAACTTGTAACAATACTGAAACTGCACTAATTTTTTGAGGAGGCACAACTGAGCAGATATATGGCATTTGAACCTGTATAATAAAATATTACAAAAGCTACAGTTGTGGTCTATTCTATTTAGCGCAGTTCACCACTCCTCCACTAAGAATGAGGATTACTGTATTAACTGATGCAATTCATGAGATGGCCAGGAGAGGGTGCACACTGTTCCAAAATACATTTCAATGGCCTTATCTATAATTGTTTATGCAGAAGCTCCTGCTTGGGAGCTTTAACATGTTAATACCTCCCCCAGAAGCCGAGCATGGCCTTAATACCAACCCAGCTGTGTGTATGACTAGTCTGCTTTTCCTCTATATAGATCCATCTCAAATCTAACGCATTACTAGGATTACCGTGCCCTCTTTCTGTAAGGAAGCATTGTATTTCTATTAATAACCAAACTATAAATAAATATTAATAAAACACATTCACATAGAGTGCCAAGCACATCTCTTTATTCAGTCACATTTTAAAAATGGAGTTGGCAGATGCCACAGACAATTATACTGGCCACAACAAACAACTTAAAATACGCTTCTCACATTTTGAAGTAGACTTTACGCTTGATACATCAGGAATATCGTGTGTAAATACTGGTCTACCATTTGATTCCTTTTTGTCCCTTACGCAAATTAATCTAATACTCTTCTCCCTCTTCCTCTCCCTCACCCTCAATGGAGTCAACTCCAACCTCCTCATAATCCTTCTCCAGAGCAGCCATGTCCTCTCTGGCCTCAGAGAACTCTCCCTCCTCCATACCCTCACCAACATACCAGTGCACGAAGGCACGCTTAGCGTACATCAGATCAAACTTGTGATCCAAACGAGCCCAGGCCTCAGCAATAGCTGTGGTGTTGCTCAGCATGCACACGGCCCTCTGCACCTTGGCCAGGTCTCCACCTGGAACCACAGTGGGGGGCTGGTAGTTGATGCCAACCTTGAAACCAGTAGGACACCAGTCCACAAACTGGATGGTGCGCTTGGTCTTGATAGTGGCAATAGCAGCATTCACATCTTTGGGCACAACGTCACCACGGTACAGCAGGCAGCAGGCCATGTACTTGCCGTGACGTGGATCACATTTCACCATCTGATTGGCTGGCTCAAAGCAAGCGTTAGTGATTTCAGCCACAGAGAGCTGCTCATGGTAAGCCTTCTCTGCTGAAATCACTGGAGCGTAGGTGGCCAGTGGGAAATGGATACGGGGGTAGGGCACCAAGTTGGTCTGGAACTCAGTGAGATCAACATTGAGGGCACCATCGAATCGGAGGGAGGCAGTGATGGAGGACACAATCTGACTAATGAGCCTATTCAGGTTGGTGTAAGTAGGACGCTCAATATCGAGGTTCCTACGGCAAATGTCATAGATAGCCTCATTGTCTACCATGAAGGCACAGTCAGAGTGCTCAAGGGTGGTGTGGGTGGTCAGGATGGAGTTGTAGGGCTCCACCACAGCAGTGGACACTTGGGGAGCTGGGTAGATGGAGAACTCCAGCTTGGACTTCTTGCCGTAGTCGACAGACAGGCGCTCCATCAGCAGGGAAGTGAAACCGGAACCGGTACCACCACCAAAGCTGTGGAAGACCAGGAAACCCTGGAGCCCTGTGCACTGGTCAGCCTGAAACGAAAAAAAGCACATTAATACTATATATATAATTAATAATTTTTATTTTCTCAATATCAAACAATTCACAGCTACCCACCAGTTTGCGGATCCTGTCCAACACCAGATCAATAATTTCCTTGCCAATGGTGTAGTGACCACGAGCATAGTTGTTGGCAGCATCCTCCTTTCCTGTGATGAGCTGTTCAGGGTGGAACAGCTGGCGGTAAGTTCCAGTGCGGACCTCATCTGGAGAGACAGATGTGGTTAATAAATTGACCACAACAAACTAACTACTATTAGTTTAATAAACAAAATTATCCTGAATCCTACCTATGACTGTGGGCTCCAGATCAACAAACACAGCCCTGGGGACGTGCTTTCCAGCTCCAGTCTCACTGAAGAAGGTGTTGAAAGAATCGTCTCCTCCTCCAATGGTCTTGTCGCTGGGCATCTGCCCGTCAGGCTGGATGCCGTGCTCAAGACAATAGAGCTCCCAGCAGGCATTGCCAATCTGGACACCAGCCTGACCCACGTGGATGGAGATGCACTCACGCTGTTAAGCGAAAGAAAGTCGAACAATTTTTCATTAACCATAATGTTTGTGATAACATAACAATTGTCTCGTTGTAATTTTCCTAGCCTGGGTCATAAAGGAAACAGGAAAGGAGAGAAAGAAAAGCTGTGGACGTATCAGGGTAAATTGCAGATAATGTACATACGTCCAAAAAGGTTTGGATAATTGATGATGCAAGGCCCGCCTTGGACTAATGCAGGGCCGTGTAGCAGAGCTAGCAGTCAGCAGAATGCTCTCCATTCACTGCAACACTGCAGATACTGTGCCATGACAGAGCCCCACCCAAGCGGCACAATCCAGCACAGACTGCCAAAGTGACCAACTGCACCACGAGAAGTCAGCTGTCATCTTCCTTCCTCTTTTCCAAAGCTTCTCACTGTCGTACAGGAACTAAATGGCTGATATACATTTTCAGCCCTCGCTCTCATTTTATTAAGTCTACTTGAAATTACAGTCAGAAGGCTTATTTGATTCAAAGAACCCAATCAAACCTCCCTCATAACTGAACTAAATGTACACATAAGAGTTTGAATAAAGATGGCATGGCTGAACAAAGACACTGCAATCTGCATTTGATACAGTTTCCTGAGGGCGACCATACCAACCAAACTCAAACTGAATTAAAGGCAATGTCCCTTGAGGACATGAGCAGCTGTTAAATGTAACAGGAATAGGAACTGGTCAGTCATGCCACACATAAGGTCCAGCAGACAGCTGCAGGAGCCCCCACCCAGTCTTCTCCTTCAGCGAATGGAGGATGGGAGGATGGTGGTACATTTCCAAGAACATTCTCTGCTCTTTTCCAATGCCAACCCTGCATCTTATCATCACTCCATCAGCCACCTTGATAAAAGAGCCATTTAGGATTAATAATGAATTGCCTGCATTAGCTAAGACACAAACAGATACCTTGAATAACTGAGGGAGTATCTAACGTTAAAATTTAATGTCATTGATCAGAAAGCATGCAATCCATGCACTGTGATGAAATGGGTGATGTATGGCGGACAAGGTGGGTTTTGTGATATCATAAGATCTTAGAATCTTAATAATGGCAACGGAAGAACAGGTGAACAGTTCATGCTCTCCATCAAGCAGCAGTATGGTTATGTATGAAGTGAGCTCCATTTTTTTAACATAGGCTAATCAGGTCAACCTCAAAGCCAGTTTAAGGAAACAATGAATGAAATTGAGCATTTATCCATTCAGACAACACGTAAAAGCCGGTTAGCCTTACAGACACTGACAATACAAACTGATATTTGGTGATGTGCTACAAAATTGTGTATAAACTGGGTGTTTTTTACGCTAAATCTATATGCTGCATTGTTTCATTGTGTCTGTATCTGTGTCAGTCTCAGCCTCAGCCTCAGCCTCAGCCTCCATCTTGGTGAAAAAGGCGCGCCCAGTCTCAAAGAAAAAGCCGCTACAGCTGTTTGAATCCGACGAGATGAAGGATGAAATGAAATGAAAGGAATGGGCAACAGGAAACACAATCTGTTTGGTCACTGACAGCCGAAAAGCTACATTACTCACCATTGTTCCGAAGGAGATGAAGCGAAATCAAAGGAGGCAGAGAATGTCTTTAATGTTGACACTGAGTTTGTTCACAGTGCCGTCTGAGCAGCACAGGAGGGGGCGGGGCAAAAACCTTCATGACGTACTGTCGCATACCGCGTCAGCCAATCGGAGCGTTCGAACGAGGACGCGTCAAGCTGGCGCAGGCTGGTTCTGCAGTCCAGATCCGAGCCAAATCTGACACACCTGCTCCAGATGTTCAACGTGTTCTTGGACAAGTTTGGTGGAACAAGCCCTGCAGAGATTTTACTAACATAAAAGTGTTATTAGTACTAATAAAATATAAATCTGACTATTTTGATTTTTAGCATGTCTATCATTTTACACATGCCTATATTTGTTTTCAGTTGTCACTTGTAAGAATTTAAGGCATTTCCCAGTTCATTTTAATGGTAGGAACAATTTTACAAGTATGTATTAAATTTTAAAAAGTCCGTATTCTACACTTTTCTTTCCTTTTTTTTCCCTCTGAGATCCCCTTATGACATTTCTGTAGGTTTATGGACCAAAAAAAACAATCATAAAACATTTTTACATGAACTTTTTACAACCTCTGTCTAGCTCTTTTCTTACTGTGCCTTCAACACTGATAAATATGAACGAGCTCTGTTCTGATCTCATTCAAAAAGCATTCAGGGCTGAAACACTTCTTATGACTTCATTGTGAGTGGTCGGTGCTAAACCACTGCTGCCTAAATAGGTGGGTATATATAAATGTGCTGTTTTTTGTGTCATCACAGTAATAATAAACTGAAAACGGACTATTTTTGCAGTTTGTTTCCACATATAGACCATATGGACTGTATTCCAACATTGGCCATATTCCAAGTCTCAAAATGTACTGTTCACTACCTGTTTCATATGGCACGTAAATGGAAATGAAGCTACAAAAGCAGTCCATATTTACTGCACTGTTGTCATGAAAATCAACACAATTACGTATGTCTGTCAGCCTGTAGCAGTTTAGCTCTGCCTACTTAAATTGAATTTATACAGAGTGTTTCAGGCTGCTTTATCAATGAGACACAATATAGGGCAGCCAATCAGAATAGAGCTCATTTACATATCTCATTTTTAAAGGCAGAGTAACAAAAGCAGCATGCCAAATTCCAAGAAATAATGAAAAGTACACACACACACACACACACATCTTCTAAGCCGCTTATTAAAGAAATGTAGAAAAATGAAAATAGTAATTATGACCTTTTTCTGTACATAAAACCACAAACATTATAAAAAAACTGGAAAAGAATTAAAGGAAAAAAATAAAATGCAAGAGAAATAAAATAACAATGTTTACATACGACATAAAACTCTTTTATTTCAGGACAGCAAGAAGAGTCTGATTTATGTGGTAACGTGGTAATTGTAATTATTACATGTTCAATTCGACGTCTTACCATTGAAAACTGAATTGCTACATGTTAAAATGTAGTTCTATCTTTGTCTGTAATGGAAAACTGTGGGTTAAAAGACTGTAGCACTGTTATGCTGAGGACCGCTGGTCTGTAACAACACTGTGGGCTACTGTACGGCCTGTGATTTATAATGCAAAATGGCTGAATGCCTCCACTGTAGGAGATGCTATCAGGGTGAGCTCAGCTCATGTTCCAGAAAGTCAGAACCCTCCCCCACCATCATCCCCACCGTAGCTCCTCCCTCCGTCCTAGATTTGGCTGAAATGATGTCATCTTCTTGTCACGTGACCAGCTAGGCTCTGGTTTTGCTTTGTCAGTGTGCGGTTCACTTCACTTCACATCCTTCCATGTGATCATGTCAAGTAGCTCAGATGCGTTCAGGGTCAATTCAGTGAGCTTCAAACCAGTATTTCCTGGAAAAAAAAACACACTTCACAATGTTTTTTGTGAAGAAAATGCAGTGGTGCAGTCTGCTAAACTGAGCGCACATGACTCTGCACACCTAATTGCAGGGTAAGGACTTTTCAGAACACAAAGAGCAGCTTTGGGTTCCTACTCGTCTTCCCCACACAAGAATCTGTGGTATTTTGGCAGGTCTGTTGGGCTTTCACATTCTGATTTCATCAGCCCACACTGCTTAAACACACTGCTTTGTTGACTTTCTTACAGTTGAGCAGGTCTATTAGGTTTGTTAGTCGAGAACACCAAGAAATAGAATTATTCAGAGAGAACGTATTAAAGAAGTCTTGTGTTAAAACACCAGATTAACTGTTTACAACAGTCTCTCCTCTCTTGGCTGTCAAACTTTAAGCTCAGGCCATGTGGTAGCATCTGTAACACATGTGCTGACAGACTAGTTTAGTGGTGCAATGGAAATTTTACACACATACACACACACAGGAGTACTTTGTCCACACTCCACATGTGTCATGTCCTCCTGGCCCGCCCCCCCCATGTTTCATGTTGAGGTAACACTGGGCTAAATATTTCTTGCTGCCTGTTGAAGTGCGTCTTCTGCTCTGATGCTACAATGGTTTTGAGCTGCGACTGCGGTCCTCGACCTACTGTAACCCAAATGTTTTCCAAAACTCCGGTAATAAAATAGAAACCAACCCATGATCTTAACAGCGAACAGTTGAATTACATGTTCTTCAGTATCACCTTTTCACCATCTCTCAGCCTAATAATTCTGACTAATTTACTGCAAACGCTGTTCTCACTGCAGACTAGTTCCAAAAGAATTTTTCCTGAGTTTTTCCTTTGTTTGATAAAGGAAGTAGTGCTTAGTGATGTCTTTGAGGCATGTTCATCTGTTTTATAGGAACAATAGAACACTTGAGATTATGTGTTGTTGTGAATAACAATGTGGTCTTCCTCCAAAAAAAGTAGTTCCACGGGAACCATTGTTGTTACTTAGCAACTTGTGGTCAGCAGAACAATATAGGTACAGTTGTATGTGAACATTTGGGCATCCCTGGTCAAATGTCATGCCTTGTTGAATTTCTAAGTGAAAATAAGCTAACACATCTGAATTTAACACATTGGGGGAAAATGCAACGTGAAATATGGACTGTGCAAAAGTTATGGCACCTTTTATATGTTATATTTTTTCATGCTTCAGCAAATAAATAGAGATGATGCCCTAAAATTCGTAGAAAAATGTCATATTTAAGTTCCCTGTAGATGTGGTAGAAAATCAAGAAAACGTGTACTTTGATCAGGGATGTTCAAACTGTTGCATGTACATATAACATTTTTGAACCAATAAGATTATGTGGTCAGTTTTATTGTCTTTACTGTTAAGGTTTTATGCCATTTAAAAGTTTTTCCTATAACCATACATCTGAGAAGCTAAGAACCATTTACTATGTCTTATTTTTAAGAGAGCACTTGTTATTTTCATTGAACATTTACCTCCACAGAGTTCCTATCATTCTTAAACTGATGAAAACACACATGATAAGGATGGCAGTTGTATGGCAGGTGTTAAAGATGCCCAGTAAGAATGTGATAAATTCAAAATGCTGGACTAGAGCGAAGGATTCCGCTGGAAGGGCCCTAGCAGCTGGGATAGCTAGAGGAATTCAAACAGCTGTGGAGATGAGAATAGGATAGCAGGGTGAAAGGCAGAAGCAGTTGCCCATGGAGAGCAGTCCTCAAACATAAACTGTTGAACTCATTTGGTCTTCTGCCATCTCTTGTGTGCACTTAATGTCACATTGTAGCCCATAGCGAGTGATGCATGGGCTTAACCTTCTAACTAAACAGAGACAGTGTTCCTCAGTTGTGTACAGGATTCTGGTATGGCCTATTTTAAGACACTGGTTAATCTGAAGTGCTGACGATTCAAGTTGCAAAGTAGCATCTCCACATTTAAATGTGAATTCCACCAATTTTTCAAAATGTTTGTAGAATTCAGTTGTTAAAAGAACAGTTCAGCAAAAAATCTAATTTACACACCTAATTTTCCCCCTTAGCCCAGATGTAGTTGATCAGTCAAGACATATTTGGAGTCCAAATTTTGCTTCTTTAGTTTAGAACTGGAGCTAAATTAAGGCTAACACTGCAAACCGACACTAAAAACCAATAATCACTCAAATAGCCCAAATCCTTTCTGTAAAACCACATCACTAAACCTTCTCTCAACCCACTCCAAGTCACATCCAGGTCTTTATTAAGGATGTGCAGACTTGCCAATGTGATTTAGAGAACAGCAGGACTTACTGTGAGGTGTAAAACTTAACAAAACTTCCCATAGGTAGCCACATCAGACGACACCTGGGATTGTATTCACAAAGCAAAACTAGTCTTGAGTCAGATTCCTTAATATTCATGACTGTCATTGTGACAAATACTGATTCTAGATCAGCACTTCTTCTACTGAGATGGTTTGTGAGCACAGTCCTTGTTGTCTAATGTGGCTACCTGCAGATTTGTTCATTTTTATAGTTTACAGTCATACCGTGTCCTAAACTACAAAGACAAATCTGCACAATCTTAATGAAGACCCAGATGCAGTTTGAGCGGGTTGAAAGAACTTTTGAAGATGTATTTTTACAGAAACGATTTAGGCTGTTTGGGTGACTATTAAGTTCTGTGTTTGTTAGCAATGTCAGCCTTGCCACTCCAGTTCTAAAGAAACAACATTTGGACTCCAAACATGTCTCGGCCAAACTACATCTGGGGTAAGTGGAAAATTTTGTCAATTCAATTTTTGGCCAAACCATTCCTTTAAAATGTCGACAAAGTCATTAAGTGTGGTCTAATTTGAAACATGCCATTCTAGAAAAATCAACCAACTCAGATTTCTTTACAATAGTGGTGATAGGAACCAGACATCAGATAAATGTACCGTCTCTAAAAGCTACCTCATGAAACGCTATCATGTGGAATGGTTACAAAACATCACCTGATGCCTGAAACGCCCAGTGTTACTGTAGTTTTGAGAGATTTGGTCTAAATGGCATTGTTTACAATAAATTCAGAGCAGAAATGTACACGTAGGGTGTTATAAAGCGAAATAGTACGATAAACTTTTTTTTTCTGGATTCACCACTGTTTTAACTTTGTCAGCATTACACACAAAAACTCAGAAGACACATGCTTATTTTGGATTGTAAAAATGGCTATATTTGTGTTGTAGAAAT